CTAAATGACCAGCAAAATATTTCTGCTGAAATTTTCATTTACTTAATTGTTGTTGATTTAAAATATTATTTTCGCAGAACTTTGAGGGCTAAGTTTGCAGTTAGTACAAGATATAAGAATATTTATAAGCTTATTATTATCGGAAATTAAATTGTTCCATATTAAAGATTATGCTTGTGATAAATACAAATATCGAAAGCATTATGAGGAGCTTATTAAACCATGTACTGGTTGAAGAATAAAGTACAACTGGTGTTTATGTTATGAGTTTAATTAAAGGAAATAGGAAATATTATATACAGGTCATGATACTGTTAGGCATAGAGTTAAAGTGAACACAGAAGTTATAGAAATTGTCTTTTTTAAGTTATAATCCACGGTTGTCGAAGTATAACAGTATTCACTTCACTCCATTTGTTCAGATCATTTTAAATTTCTAGCTTTAATTATCATCAGGTTTACATAGGAAACAGTACTGCTATGCATGTATTGCATTTTAAAACTGTAGTTTATCTAATATTCAATGTAAACTTTGAAATGAGTAATATTTATAAAAAGTAGTAATTTTGTGCATTAATTGGATCTAGTTATCCGCAGACACTATTCGGATAAAGTTCAAAAGTACTAATCCTTGATGCACTAGAATTACGAGCTTAAATATTATCAAATAAGAAAGAAGAAAAACTTTTATTTTAACGTGTAATTCAATTATTTTTGGCTATTTCATTATTTTGACATCTGATAAGATAAAAACTTCGTTGAATTTCCAAAAGCTTAATTTATACTTTTTTTCTTACCAGATAAAATAATTTGTTTTTCAATGCTGAAATCGAACTGGTTTGTTTAGTTTACAATTCAGAATCTTCACAGAAATCAACCGTATTTGAGTGAGATAGATTTAGTGTAGAATTACAATTGTGTACCTAAACAAGAAATTTTTCACTGAAAAGAATTTAATTAGACTTTGTCAAACCTATAGTCGGCTAATTAATGAATTACTTTTTCTTTTACATTGATTTATTTTACTACCAGTATTACACATTCTTTTAATGTTAAAACTTTATCATTACAATTAATACAATTTTGGCAGAAATGGAATTTTTAAGTATTTATCAGTCGGTCATATTATTAAAGTTGGACAGACAGTTATAACTAAGAGAAAAAAGAACTGTTCACTGTTTTATAATCAATTTCTATTCAGACAGTTTATTTTTCTGATCCTTTCTGACCTATGTTGCACGACATCTGATTAACGTTTGTGAACACTTAAGTAGTGTATGTTTCTTTTGCGTAAGAAAACAAACTGTAACTAGTAGGACTATGTAGAATGCGTTCATCTCATTTGAGTCGTGTGAATTTCTCTTATTTCATTCAACTATCGGTCTTCATAATAACAGAAGGTACCTAATATTGATATTAATATTCAGTCCAATAACATTCGATATAACTTACCAGTAAAGAGTTGTTTATTTCATTTTTATCGATTGTTTGAATTTTTCTCATTGATGTTTTGGGACCGCAGTTGACTAGTCTCGTTGGCATATATGCATCGTATACAAATATCCTCGATATTGCCTTTAGGCTACAAGCATAATTAGCTGTTTGAACTCAGTAGCTCAGTGAAAGGGTTTGGAGAGAACGGTACTAGGTTCGAGTCTCGGAGTGAGTATCAACTCTGGGATGTAGATAAGTCCAGTGGGCAGCCTAGATTTCACTGCTAACCACTATCCACTCTTGCTAAGAGTGTTGTTTGATTTTATGTATCCAAATGTGTTTTTATTTTGCTATAGTGTCATCCTTTTCGTTCGTATCTAGTGTAATGGAACTTTTTCTTGCATAATCCGAATGATTTTGATCACATAAATGAATGATGAGTAAATAATTGTTCTGTAGATGACTCACTTGCTATGAGATTTAGGGAGTATCAATTTTAAATTATTGAATATCAGCGATAAATAAAACAAAGCAATCATGTTCGAGATGCGGTTTTCTCCCCTCTAAATTCAAAATCTTGCTTCAAGATTGGGTTTCATCGGTACCTAAACCAGTAATAAGGAGTGAAGTAGTTGAGCGTGTTGACCGCTTCACTCATCTGGGGAGTTTCAGTATTGCTGATGGTCTGGTGACTGACGAAATCTCAGCTCGGACACAGCAGTCTAAATTGGCTTTTGCCAACCTGCGTTACTTTTGGCGCAGGCGAGATATCTGTTTGCTAACTAAAGGACGAATTTACTGCACAGTAGTTTGCATCGTCCTACTTTATGGCTGTGAAACATAGCCAGTCACAGTAAAGGATATTCGTAGGTTGCTGGTTTTCGATTATCGGTGTCTCCGAAGCGTTGCTCGAGTAAAGTGGTTAGGACCTGTGTTGCGTATGCCTAACTACCGATTGCCTCGTTGAGCTATGTTTAGCGCAATAGGAATAGCTGGGATGAAAGCCAGGAGCGGCCAGACCAAAACATTGTACTACTCCATTAAGTCATTGACAAGTGAACTGAGTCATGTCGGTAGGTGTTGACTACCTGGTCGGGGTCCGCGAGATGATAATAATCGATGGTTAGAGTCCCTGAATGATATGGCTCAAAATCGTTTGCAATGGTGCAGATCTCATAGATTTGAATATAAACTCGTTCATTCTTAACCTCTATCGCATAAAATTATTCTGTTTCATATCTGAGTCAATAAACGTAAACAGGGTTACTTTTTGTTACGTGATATGTTTTTGAAAAGACTATAAAATAAAATTACATCTTGCTGATGGAAAATTTCTCAGTTGGCACGAATGTGTATTTAGTCTTGTTTAAATTTACTTTCTGCTTGATTCTGTGTCAACTTTTCTGTTTGGTAAATAAAAATATTCAAAGTATTATTAGTCAGTATTAAAAAAACTCCAAGAGACTGTTGTTCTACAAGACTTTCTAATCTTCAATTATGTATATGTTACCTATTGCAAAATCGGTTACATCAAACAACTAATTGACTTGTATAATGCCACTGAATCAGCATGTGTTTTATAGTCATTTATCAAAGTAAAACCTGATTCAAATAAATTAAACCTAACTAACATGAACTACCAGCCAGTTTTCATGTGATCAATCAATTAGACTCTCTCTTAAAATTTACAGTTTATTAAATTTTGACTGTTTAATACCTATTATTGTTTGATTAGAATAATATTTGTATTGATTTATAGTGTAAAAGTTAGTAAATAAAACATTTTCTTTCATTAGTCAATGAAAATGATTCATAACTCCTTTTTTATTAAATGATTCCTTTCCCAATGGAAAACATTGCAACTAATCAGTACATTGCTTGACCAACCTTTAATTCAAACATTCACTACAATTGTTGATATTAAACTACCCTATAATAATAATAATACTCATTTACCATAACATGAGTCTGCTTATTCTTATTTCTACACAAATCGATACATATTGATTTGAATGCAATGGTTAGAAAATATCTTAAATTAGTGTAAAATTTGGATATTCTATAAATAGTAAAAAATTAATCTATTTACTATTTACAACAGATACGTGTTTTATTGTGTCACATATTCACCATTTATATATTTTGAATAGTTTCAGAAAATAATTTGGTCAATGAATGATCAGCAAAATAATTTTTTTAGTTATTTTATTAGTGTCATTATTATTATTATACGACTTATTCTGTTTATCGTACTTGAATCAAATTATAAGTGATCCTTTTGATATCACTTTGAATAAAATTCAAAATACTCAATTAATACTGACTTGGTTGGTCAGAAATCAAAGGGAGAAATCAGTCAAGACTACCGTATTATTCAATCCATTAATTTATATTGAATAGATATATTGGACGTGATCGATAGGAGAAGAGTTAGAGTTATGATTACTTCTCTGTTAGAATTAATTCACTGAAGTAATTATCACTTTTGATATGACAACAGAAATTGACATCTTTAAAATTTAGTGGATTCATTTCATTAAGTATTTTCATTAGAAATATATTTTATACAGAATTTCAGGCAGATTGTTCCTTTTACCGAAACATTAGCAGCTAAAAACGTTAAACTTGATTTGTGTATCCTAAAAAGACGGCAATCAACTTAACACTACCTTGATAATAATAATAATCATTATTATTATTAAGATTATTTGTTTGTCATGTTGTTCAATCTTCACTAGGGATACTATCCCCAACTCAGGTCTCATATGGTCGAAAAATGAAAATTTCCCTGTTGCGAAAAATCATTACTCGACGTGGGACAAAGGATATTAAGAGTGTTTGAGCCCATTTGCATAAAGCTGAGCTGGATCTCTGGCTATCCTATTTCTTACTAAGTGTGCACCATATGCCATACTGCTATATGAAGCTGAAGATTTCCAATGAGACCAGAGCTTCACTGTAAACATTGTTGATGGCTTGACACTGCTTTGGCAAGTATTGCTAACTGTCCATATACAAAATTGGTTAGCAGGGTGATTGATTTCATTGATATTGGGGGTTGCTTTGCAACATTCCCGAGGGCCATTGTCGTTGAGGTGCTGTATTACATGTAACCATTGCTAATAATAATAAGTTTTACAGTCACGTGAGCGGGATGGGTCAAAGTGACCTGTTCATATGGTACATATTGACTGACGCAATCATGGATCGGAAGTAATCACTATACGTACTAGTGTATATAAATGGTGTGAATGGTCCACCAGAGTATAAAGTGCCTGTAATACTAAACCTTAGCTGAGTGATATCTGAAGTCACCATATTTCATTTAAAGAGGGTCATTTAAATTACAGTCAAGTATATTATTTATTGAAAAGTGTTTCTTGTGGTGTTAAATAGTTTGTGAAGATGCAATTAATTTAGAGGCAAGTTTCCTATTAAATTTTTATCAAAAAGCTAATAAAAGAAATCTATATTGATTTTGGAATGAATTTCGATTTTTGTTGAACTTCAAAGTGTTCAGTAAAGTTATTTATGTTTCTTCCCCATATTCTGTTGTTTACTTTTAGTCAGTTCGTCAAACAGGAGCTGTGAAAATCACCGTATTAAAGGCGGCAACATTTCTCCACGTAGCTGCATGGTATTCAGCTCATCAAATAATTGATCATATTTTACAGAATAATGCGGCGTCACTCATTGAAAAGAAAACAGTAGTATGTTTCACATTTTATATTAAAGCGTTTTCAAATTTTGCGCCTTGAATAATGGTATTATTTCATATTTTTATATTATTAGGAGCTAAATGGATTTTAAATTAGTTGTTGGTGATAGGATATTAAGTAATAAACTGACTGTGATTTCTGGTTAGCTACAAAAGATGGTAAAGTGAATTTCATGTAAAATAATTGTTCTACTCTTAAGGCAATTGGTTTTGTATTTTGTTAATTCTCATAATTTTCTTGTTTATGCACACTATACTTACTTACTTTTATCTGGACTTTCGAGAGATCTCGCTTTGTTGAGCAGAGCACAGAAGACAATTAACAGGGTAAATGTTGTATCCTTTGACGACATTGTGAACTAATGTAATACACTAGAGATCTTGTAAACAATACGGGGGTGCTAGTTTGCTAAGTAAAAACCATCTACCTTGTTCACATCTTTCCACTTCTTTACTTCTGGTATAATTCATGCACACAAACAAATGAAAGAACAAATACCTTACAATATCATTGACAGTTTATTCACTATGCTAATAACAGATTGTTAGGAATGAATTGACCGAAAACGTACGTTCTTAAGACAGTAACCAATTTTCTGTAGCAAAAATTATTTTCTAGCAAAAAGTTCATCTAAAGTTATGTTATCCTTTTTTTTACTTATTTGACATATTTTATCACCGTTCGAGGTAATGAATATTAATTAGTCATACTACTGATCGTCTGAGATAACTTTAGTTTACTTCCTATTTAAATTCAAAGATGAGGTCTAATTTCGTATTTTTACTTAACATATTGTCTGAGTTGATGTTTCCAAAAGTTGTGGATTTTCAGTGACTTACTAAGTCATCATTATTTCTCATGAAATAATTGTTGAAAGAATATAAATTACGTGTCTAAGAAAATAACTGGTAAATGTCTTCATATCGTAAAATTATTTCTTTTGATAGAACAATCACTATCAATGACTTTATTGTTCATACGCCGTATCATAATAGCGACAATAATGATAATAATAGTAATGAAACATTGAATTTTAGTATTATTCAAAAATGTGACCATTTTTGATATTTAGTTGACAATATCCAATGATGAACAAATGTGTTAATGTTGAAGGTTTTGAATTCCGTCTATTAATTACGTTAATTTAATTAATCAATAAACATTAACTATTTACGAACACTGCTTGATACATTTTTTAAAACCTAATGCAACCTGTTGTAGTATAAATTACAAATCATCTTTGTTATTCTCTCTGAATACATGCAATCATAAACATTTCAAGAATCAATTCAAGATTAGGCAGATTCATAAATAGATTTATTAGGTTGAAAAGTGTATCATAGTTGTAAAGATGATTCAAATAAATTTACACTGCTTACATCTTTATGAATTTTTTTACATTTGTATTGTTTGTTTAAACCTGTCCATTGATGGTAAAGCATATGTGCATTGAGTGGATATTGCTTCAATATTTTGTTTAGATTACAAGCATAACTAGCAGAGGTGTGTAGGAGTTTTCAGTCCTGGACATCGATGAGAAGATTTAAATAACTGATACAGCTAAATTTATTTTCACCTCATTGCATAAATGAGTGTTTATCTGGAATCGATAGCTAAGTGGACAAAGTGATAGCGACTGAAGCAAACAGTATTGATTTCGAGTTTCGAAGTTGATAGCAACTCTGAGATTCAGGCGGATCCAGATGTCTGCTTCAGCGTTTTATGTCACTTAACGTTTCCGCACCCGAAATTTTCTAAGTATTATCATGAAGGGTAAAACGTAACCAGAGTTTTGAACAGTGATAAGTTTCCACTATCCACTGAGAAAAACGGGACCAGTTTGGCCATAGTATACTTCAAATTAGTATTTTAGAATTGACTCCTGCATGATTTATAAGATAAAAGTGAAATGCTCATAGAAAGTCAAAAATGTGTACAGTAAAACAATTGAAAATTCTAAAATGATACACACTTGATCAACTTCGTATTTTATCTGAATGTGTGTGTAACAGAAAATTCCTCAGGATAGATATAAAGAGAGTTACATATGCAATAGTCTGTACAAAAGCAGCTACATAGTTTTCGACTATTTTCATAAATACTATACCTATTATTTTACATATTTTATGGTAGTTATGCATCGCAATAATTATGACTTTTATGACTAGAGCGGTTTCACTCCATTGCATATTTCTGCTGGAGTTGGAGATTTTGTGGCAGTCGAACGATTATGTAAAGCTGGAGCCAATCCTGAAACTACAGATACAGTAAGTGATTTGATAAGTTGAAATTGATGATATTATTTATTACATAATCTTGCATATACTTTCATGATTTAATGTTACTGTTAGGGATGTTAGATCCCCAGAACTCGCTTGATAAATATCTTTATTTTGGACTTATTTCATGGGCCGATTAGTTGACCTTGAGATCACATTTCCCACCAGGAAAATCCTTGGCTGTGATTGATTACTGGGTCATCTTAGTGTGCTATTTTGTAACTCTCCCAAGAACGTCTCTATGGAGTATAACTAAACGCAGTTTGTGTGCTTGATTGCACTGTGTGCTGGCTAGGTGTTTGTATTATACACTTTCTACGCTATATCAAGACTTCTTGCTGATACAATTGGGACAATCGGATCACAGTAGCCTACCTGGACGCTGGTTAATTGTTTTGTTTTCGTTATTTGACTGAGGTGAACCCGTAATAGTTTAAGCATACTTCGAAACGAGTATAACAGTTTTTCAAAACTGAAGACGCTATGTAGAAAATGATTTGTTCATTAAATGTTTACTTGGGAAGAAAATATAATGTTTTAATTAAACCAAGTATACATATATTCCTAGTGTTTTCATCAAATCTTCAAGAAATGATTAAGGACGCTTGTGAAATGAATTTGCTTGAAAACATTGTTCACAATATTTATTTTCTGTATTTAAAAGATGAATTATAGTATATATTTAACTGTTCAACTGGTACAACAAACTTTATGTATTATATAAGTGATATATGGCGTATCAGGCATTCGAATCTTGAACAGAATAATGATATTTATAATAATAAACTATACTAAAGTATACTTAAGTGTAATAATAATAATGTATGCAGTAAAATAAATTTTTGCTTAGTTATCTTGGCTGAAAACATTTTCGTAAACATGGTTACAGTGATGTTCAGTTATTCATGCTCTTACTACATTTATGGTTTGTTTGTTTTATACGACAACTTGATATTTTTGGTACATTTTGACAGACTCAAACTTATGTAATTTCAAAATGATAGAAGTGGTTGAAGGCCCAGTGATTCATCCCATGGTACACTAATGGTGACACATTAAACACATAATAGTCTTTAACAGTTGGTCGTTTCGACTGAGCAGGTTAATTTATTCATCTCGAACGTGACTATACTATGATGAAGAATAACGCTTGTAAGGTGTTTATCATTATCTGAAATTAATAATAAAATGAAACTGATTTTTAAGATGTTAGAAAATTTCAAGCAATCATAACTACCAACCACCATTTTACAAGAAATATATTCTCCATAAATATCACCGCCGAAATTCTGTTTATCAGAAAACTATTTCTCAATGATCGTTCAGCAGTTAGCCTACTCTTATGATAATTCAATGAGTGGAACAGAAAAAGCAGTGATTCATAGTTTGTGCATTTTAAAACGAGCAAACTGGACATTTACTAAAGTGTAACGAAAGTATTCATAACTAAATAGCTTAGTATATTTACCAGCCTTCAATAAAACAAATTACACACTCAAATAATCTGACAATCAATGAGTTGACTAATTTATCAGCTGACCACATTTGATTATCGATTGTATTCAACATACACCTTACTATTCAGTGACTGTAAACACCTTTTGACTAAAAATAGTTTTTGTTTTCGAAAACATTAAAAACGAAAATTACCATTTTGAAATTTAAAAAATATTTTTTCTCTCCAATTTATTCAAATCATTTTCTAAATGGTAACTTGTCAAAGCTATAAGCACATAAAATGCACACTCAAAATTGTCAACATTTTTTTGAGAGAAAGAGGTACATTTGGCAAGCATAATTTTATTCTTTCTTATGAGTTTCGGTGTTACTTAATTAGAAAGCTTGTGATGACCGAATAGAAGTAGATAAATAAATCGGTTTAATAACATGAGCTTATGATTCTGTTATCCGATATTTTACTCCATATTCATTATTCATTTTAGAATGGTAGAAATGCATTGCACCACGGTGTACTCGGTGATCCCGAAACTGCCGTTGTTCTTTGTTGTATTAACCAAAACTTGGTTACTGCTACAGATTCTGTAAGTCATATAAACAGCACCTTTTTTCAAACAAAAAAGGATTTTTATTTTTTCAAATTTCATTTTGTATCTAAATACTATAATACTTCTTGAAACAATGTAAAAAAAATGTTATGATGTCAAATTAAGTACTATAGCATCTTTACTATTGCATAAATTTCAATGCTCTCCAATTCTAACTACGTCAATATGCCCTTTTTTAGTCGAACCAACTAAATGCTAAGATTTTCTCTGCTATTTCGACTGACTATCTATGCGTGTGAAATATGACTATTAAGGATAAAGGATATTCATAGGATACTAGTATTTGATTATAGGTGTCTTCTAAGCATTGCTCATGTAGTTCGGGACTATCGAGCAAGTGATACTGATGTTAAGAAAAGGGTACGAAGTGAAGATGGTAAGCCGATTGATCAAGTAAAGAATGATCATCAACTTAGATATTTAGGACTTGCATTACGTATGCCCCACCATCGCCTACCTCGATAAATCATAAAGTCTGATGTAGGGATAGACTGGTAGAAAGCAGTCGGTGGCTGAACCAAGACATAGCATCAGTTGGTGAAACCAATGACAATCGGACTGAGACATGTTAATAGATGTTGCCCACCTGGTTGATTTTCACCTGATAGTTATAGCCAGTGGTTAGAGATTTTAAATGACATGGCTCAAAATTCTTTGTAAAAGTGCAATTGCATTCATCATTTATTCTTCCCCGAATTCTACGTTTCTGAATCCATGGCAATTCTTTATTGGACTGGTTTATGTTTTCTGGAACAGTTGCTTCGATCCACAAACTTTTTCATTACTATTGACATTGCTGCTTCCTCCGCTTCTCTGGGATTCAGCTTGACAATTTCACCTCTCTGTCCTAATATGGTAAAGCAACTTGGAGTGATGTAAGTGTGTACCAAGTTGTATGCTGTAACTGACAAAGTGACTACGTATTTAAAAACCTTATCGTCCTATATTCAAAATATTCCAATAAATGTAGAAATAAATAAAACAAATATCACAAAAATTATTGCTCAAAGTTTCTACTACAAAATATTTTAGAAATCCTTTCATTAAAACTAAACTGTTTCTAGCGGAGTGAACGATACGAGCTATAAGTATACTTCAATCATTGTTTGAAATTAGTCAGATAATTGTTGAAATAAGCAAGAAATCTTAAGTAGATAGATTTCATGCATCAATTTGATACTTTAATACAGTATACAGATACGACCTGAATAAGTTTATAATTTTCAGTGGTTGATAAAGTCAATCTATTAAAAAAATAATCTTTAACTGAACAAATTTTGGACATCATTTGCTATCACTTTTACTGATTAATTTTAACAAATCAACTCTACAGCATCTACTGCATTTCTTCAGACATAATAAAAATATATTTTACATCTTGCAATTTCACATCCGAATGTTTTTTCTCTTTGTTTTGTAGAAATTTCAAACTCCTGTTCATTATGCTCTGGATCCAACACGTTCAGCATGTCACAAGTTCTTGGCTGCATTACATCAAGCAGTTATGGAACCGAAGAGAGAGCGTTCAAACGCAGCTATAGAAAATGATGTATGTTTAGTTAGCTTGTATAAAATTGTCATTTTTGACACGTTTTTATAACGGCTTAACATGTCAGTTCCTTTAGTTAAGCGTTCATGCCCAAGAGCAAAAGTACTAGGTTCGATTCCCGTCTGCGGTGTCATAGATAAGCACATTTGAGTAGTCTCATACTAGGACAAAACAGACGTCCAATGCTCCCAGCTTTTAAATGGTGGTCTAGCTATGATCAGTATATGATTTAAACTGTAAAAATAATAGAGCTTCCATGAACTCTGTATACTAATATTGTGTTTAGGGATGAGTTGATGATTTATGTGGTTTTTACAAGTAAAAAACAAATTATACTGTTTGTCATACTTTTATCATAGTTCATTCATATTATGGTGATGAATTGTCATAATAGCCTATTTGAATTTTGGATTACCTTTTCCTTTTACCATCTAAATATTTAAACATGTTATCTTAATGAAGGTCTGCAAAAGGTTTAAATCGTATCCCTTCAGTAGATACAAAGACATATAATCAAAGATATCGTGGTGACTGGTAATATGCTTTGAAGAGAATGAGAGTTAATCAAATATTAATTTCTGAACTTCAAGCTACCGATCACTAGTTAGTAAGATGATCGATTTCCGATTTCTGATAAGTCTATATATGCATCGTAATTGTGATGTAATCACAACTCAAGAATCCTAGTCAAACGATTTATACCACAACTGTTCATGATCACAACATGGTTTCATTAACTATCTTCTGGATCGATAAAAGCAATAAGAAAACGCATGCTAACAGAGTAGCAATATCTTTAAATATGAATTTGTGTCAATAAAATTTTGCATGCTTTAGGTCTTCAAACGAATTTATTAACTATTTAACTAAAAGATGGCGTAGAAAACACTTGAAAAGGTACAAATATGTCTCAGTCATCAACATTTACGTGACTCTTGACTGTTCCGCGTCTGTACTATCTGCTTTTGCTGATAAATTCGATGAGTTTGCTATTACTGCTTTCAATGGTCTATTTTCATTATATGTAGTGACTTTAGTTGATGTGATTGTAACTTTCATTTATCACCCAGTTACCAAAATATTGTCAGTTTTCCTACTTAGTTTACAATTATGATGTAGGAATAAAGATGACTCGTAAAGATACTTAATTTTTTTGATCTGATCATTTTACTGTTCCTCTTTGACCCGAAGTAGATAACAAACCTGGAATGAGTACACTCTTACATCGATGTTTTTTAATACATTAACGTTTTCCCATCATAAATTTATTTTGTGAATCAAATTATTCTTCCTGTTTTAATGGAATACATTTTACAAATTTATAAAAGTTATAAAAACATGTAGATCTCAATAAACATCAAAATACTGTGAAAGCAATGAAGTAGATATAGAGGAAAAAATACAAACGAAATGTAAACGAAGTATTCACATTAAAATTATTCTCTGATTCAAGCAATCGTTATTGCAAGTCATGACTACATGATTGTATTTCAATTCGGTGGAATTGGTCTAGAATAAATTAAACCACACAAGTTGTATTCTCATATTTTTGTGTGAAGAAAATAATAATAATTTTTCTTATTGGAAATATTTAAACTATTTCATCAGTTCAACACTAAATAACTTCAGTTAGTGATAATTATCGAATGATTTACAAACCAATACTTATAACTTTGTACATTAAAAACATGTATATATATATATATATATATATATATATATATATATATAAATATGCGTAAATTTTATTCCTTTTAAATGTTTTCCAGAAGAATTTATCGTTTACATGGATTCCCTTGAATATCAAGGCTCCTGTTTGTTTAAAGCCATTAACAAATCCTTCGTGAGTTTATCATAAACCATCAAATATGTAAAAGTTTTTATGTTATATTTCTCTTAACAAATGTAATGACAGATTTGTTTATATATATATATATATATGTCATTTTTTGCTCCACTTCAAATTTATCAGTTTACCGACAACTAGAAATTTTTCCAATGTTTAAATACAAATGTTAAAATAGACGTCACATCTGCATTCATAAACGTGCATGTGTATGAATGGGAATAGAAAAAGCCATAAGCATCAACTTAAATAAAGTATTTTGAAATAAACATTAGGATATTTCGACTTCTTAAACCATAAAATGAAACTACACTACTAAAATACATTAAGAATGAAATAACCATCATAATTCTTCGATAGTTTATTTTAAATTAAAGGAATTAAACTATCTTATCGTTTCAACACACTCACTTATCGATCGACTAAATTCCAACAGCTTTATTGATTACAAAACCGATGTTTACTTCTCGTCCTATGATAAACTAGTATCCAACTCCAACACACCTATGTGATTCAACTGTTTAGTTTCATATAAAGTAGTTCGATGAAGATAACACCTGACCTAATAAAACATTGATTGAGAAGGAATAATAATAATAATTCTCATCTTTTGAAACTGAGATATTAAAGTTTTTTACTGCGTAAGGATTTCCTAGGCTTTGAATACCCTCTTACGGAATAAAGGAGCAATAAATCTGTTTGACAATATAAGGTGTTTTCATGCATTTTTCAAAACACTAGTCATTCACTTCATAAAATAACACATTTACTTGCTCTGTTTAGTCTGATAATATTTTTCTTACACGTTCTTCAACTATTCTATTTCAAAGAATTATTAAACTGATATTATTAGCTCATACTTAAACTTCAACTGTAATTTAAAGATTGGTTAATTAATGAATCTATTGTTATTCAGTAAGTGTATGAAGCTAAATCTTTATTCACTAGGGGTTGGGGGACTGATGCAAATTAATCAATGTAGCTGAACCAGTTACATATAAGTGAAATTGAATATCTTGTTTTACCCAAAATGTTTTATTCAAGCTGTAATCTTTCTATGTACGTGAACTGGTCACACTGATTGGCAGTTTTTAAGTATCTCTGTTTTATTTATCTGAGTTCAGATATAAAAAATGAAAAATAATATTCGTATAATGTTTTGGTGTATTTACTTATTATTTTTTTTTTTGACAGTTATCCTGAATTATGTACTTGCAATACACCTTTAATTGATCATCAAGAAATAACAAAAAATCCTCAATTTCTTAATGCATTAAGAAGTGGTAAAATGCAATACTACGATTTACCGACAAAAACATTCGGTGATATTGAATTGACTACAGGTGTCTATTCACCAAATGTAAGAATATAATGTTAATTATTTGAATCATTTAAATGTATTTGTTTAAAAAAAAACGATTTTGACCAGTTGAATTTGTTTGATAAATTGCACTTTTTTTCTCTATTTAATGTAAAGATGTATTTCAATTAAGTGTCGATATTTAAACTAACGTTAAAAAAAAGAATCAACATTCCTTGAGCAGTTACGTTGATATATTTTGACGGAATATGCATTCATAAAGAAGATTGTTCTAGATAGTATTTGATAGCATTTAATAACTTCAAAGGAGAAATGTGTCTGGACGTAATCATTGATCACCAATTGTATTTTATTTGTAAACCAACTGTTATATTCGTCACTAGGTACGCTTGAAGCTATTACGAGTTCACCTTAGTCGAAAAACGCGAACGAGACAATTACCAGCGTACAGGTAGGCTACCTTGAATCCCAAGCTGAAGGAAAAGGCTTTGTAAGTCTAGAAAGTATATTCTACAAACACCCAGCAATCACAGTACAATCAAGCATATAAGTCTCGTTTATTTATACATCATAGAAACGTCCTTGGGACAGTTACGAAAATAGCACACTATAATACACAGCAGCCAATCACAGCCATGGATTTTCCTGGTGGGGAATGAAATCTCAAGGTCAACTGATCAGCTTATGCCGGCAAACGTGAAATCCAAAATAAGGCATTTAACAAGCGAGTTGTGGGGATCTAACATTCCCAACACCAACTAGTTACCTTACTTAGTCTTTATGTTCAAACAATTTGTTACCAAGAAAAACAACTACACCTTAAATTCAGTTAGCTGAAACAAATTAGGCAAATATATTTTTATTTAGAAAAACAGTAACATATTAAAAGGCTTCTTCTGAATAAGAAATAAATATCAGTCAAACTTGACTTTAGTATATATATATATATATATATATATATATATATATGTATATATATATATATATATATATATATATATATACAATGACCATTAAAAAATCCATAAAGGATAAAAGTGAAACAAAGTATTGAAATGACTTGATATTAAACTAGAATTTAACTCTTGTTTGAAAATGAGTGGCTCTTCATTAAGATTAACAACTGTCTGTTATACAAGACTACTGAATACTAACTTTTAGTAGATGAAATACGAGACTTTATGCAGCTACCACATATACAAAGTTTTATAACATTTCAAACTTATGTCTGCTCTTAGCTCATACGAGAATTTGGTTTTCATGGTTAGTCAAAACCTGGATTTATTAGGATAGGAATCATATGGTCAGTTTGTTCAGTCGGTTGTACATTCTGAATATATTTTCGCCTACTTTTCGTGAAATGTTCATTCGCCCTCGAGACGATGGATTGATAAATAGTTACAATGATAACACACACACACACCTAATTTTAAAGATTATCAAAACGTCCTACTGCAAAACCTCATACAGTTTTATCAAATAAGGTATTGTTGTTGTTCAAAGTGTGAACTAACTTAAGACAAGCTTTTTCAGATACTGCATAGAACTATGAAATGTTATAGTGTTGCAATCTTTGTCGAGGAGGAAAGCTATCTGCAATACTTGTGCGTTCTGATCATTGAGAACTGCGTATATCAAGTGTACTATGCTAAAAGAAGTATAATTATCAGTTTCGTTGGTTTTAGTATTAAAATATCTTCAAATGACGCTTCATTCCAATAAAAGTTAAATTATCACAACCTAATGTTAATATTCTACAGATACTCAGAGAAAATGAAGGCAATATCATATGAAAGTGTTTAAAGGACTTGATTTTTGTCTTTCTTTGCTTATAATACTTAAATAATGAAAATTATTATGCACTAAAATGTCGATCATAAAACAAAAGGTAACGGTTTTAAAATACTCCAACTTTATTGTACTTACTGTAAAAAAAATTTTTTTGAATTATTATATTGAGTTAACAAAATTCACTTACTTTATTATTTTTTTTTAAAATATCTTCCGTAAATAGTTTGTTCGAGTATCGGATCAAACAGATCCAGAACATTTAATGCATATTTTTACTAAAATTTGGAATTTATCACGTCCTCAATTAGTATTGAGTTTTTACGGAGATTATACGGATTCCAAAACGATTCGTGAAAAAATACGACGTTTAATTTGGAAAGCTAGTGAATCTACAAGTAAGAGATAAAAGAATTCATCGAAATAATTTCATGTAAATTAACCTTTCTTGATATTTCGGCGTATATAAATCGGCCAAAGTGAACACGCTGTGGGGATAGAACAAAGTTTTATTAGAAAACTTACCATGAAATTGAACAATCTTTCGTTTTGTTCTTTTAGTCTATTTAATATGAATAGAAGAATTGAAATATTATATTATAATATCATTGGTGCTCATCAATTCTATTCTACCTTGACTGAACATCAAAACGCACTCTGTGTATACGATCTTTTTATGCCTAGTTAATATTTTCATAACAAACCGTTTGTGTATAACTGATTGGTCTTATTCATTTAATTGATAAATACGGTTTTTTCGTAAAATATATAGAATGACATTGTGGAAATCATGCCAAACTGATTGCAGTAATATTGTTAAGGGTAATCTAATGATAACACTGTTATGATCAAAAAACTGATATCAGCTAATAGACAGATGAAACTATTGGATAAATGATATTTTTCGTGTCACGGATCGGACTTTCTTTGAATGAATATGCGAAACCTCAAAACTTGGTCTGTACAAACATGCTGCCGTCCAGTCCATGTTTTAGCATACTTCATTCAGAGAATATCTAATATTATACGCTAATTATTGAATATCAAAGATTAGTGTCAAATGCCTCACTGCCTTTTTCGATATCATATGATATGGTAGTTTCCCAAATATTTAATTAATTTATTTTAAGCCAGTACTTATTTATTTACACAGATAACTGACCATAATTTAGGAATAAGTATTAAAATGCAGCATCATAACCATATTTTACTTAAAATTCATTGTGTTTAGGTGGAAGTTAGACCATCAACACTAACTTTTCCATATTCATAACGAAGTTTATCTGTTTAATGACAGTCGTCGGATCTTTAGGTTTGTATGTCAACAATTCTTCTAGCCTTGGATCAAGTTTCTTCTGTCACTACACCTTGATTAAACATGTTACTTTTCTGTACTTCAACATTTTGTGTCTGTTGTACCGCAATAACTTGCTATGAAGGTATTTCGTAAACAAATATTCTTTCAATTAATTTATTACACCCTTCTTCAAGAAATACCTAAAATTGCGAAAAATGTACATATTTATCGCTTTTACGGTGTTCAGTCCGTTAGTTATTCAACAGTCTTATTTGTATCTATGATCTATAAACCTATGTGTGAATTAAAAATGGAGATATGTAGTGGTGTATTGATTCATTTTCCTGCAAACAATAAAATTTTCATAGCTAATCACTCAGATCATTTGTAAGATTCACCTAGTTGCTATTCTAATTAGTGAAAGGTTCTTAAACAGCGTAGGCAAATAAAATACTTTGGATTTTTTTTTGGCACTCATAACTCACTTTTTGCTACTTGCAATCCGAAGATAATATTTGTTACAATTTAAATAAATAATAATATTTCAGATACTTCAAACGATCTTTTTCAATTTCGGTATCTTTACCTGTGTAAAGCATCTAAACAGTTAACAGAAGTCACTAGTTCTGGGATATACATAGTTTTGAACCATCCTGTTTCACTATAAACAGAATTTACCTAAAGTAATTGCTAAAATGACGAAATTTCGAAGTGCGTACAATGTAACGTGATGAAAACAAATGGTATATGTAGAAGCAGTGTTGAAGACGACTCAGTCAGTCAGTCAGTCAGATGCAACGTAGAACTTCATATGTAAGGACATCAGTTCATGTTGCCATACCACATCAGCACAGAGATGTAATTGTCAATTCAAATCCAATAGTAGTAAAAGTATTAGAAGTAATCGGAGAGGTTAGGATTAGAAGATATTTTTCAAGAAGTATGATTCAGTGAGAAAAGTTTAGAAAGACAAAACTAGAGGTGTTGAAGAATCCAGAAGATTAGGATTTGAGAGAACACAAAGAATAAATTCAACGGCGCCATTGCGAACGATTTTGAGCCATGTCATTCAAGGTCTCTAACCATCGATTATAATCATCTCGCGGACTCAAACGCTTAGGAGATTAAGTTTGGCGATTCAGATTTACATCCGTCCTGTAAAATTAATTTTAAATGTTTTATGGGAAAAAATAAGATATTTAAATATTCTTTGAAATTTTATTCCAATCAGAAACATGGGTTATCACTGATGGCATGAAACGTGGCTTATCAGTTGTAGCTAGCGGGGCAGTAAAAGATTTCATTCAAGCTTATGGAGAAGGTCAAGTTGAAGCTGTCGGAATAGTACCTTGGAAAATGATATCAGACAACAAAGTATTTGTACCCGATGATTATTCCGTAAGTTCACTATACATGTGATACCTTATTTCTCTATTATAATGAGAGAATAGTACTCCTGGTTCTTATTAAGTTCAGTTCGGAAGCTCTTTCCAATGCAAAAGTCGAATATAAACATAAACCGGTATGGTGATAATCTAAATTTTTTTATACGAAGAAGATATTCATTACAGCCGCTGAGGAAACAAATATTGAACAGAATGATGACATCTGACCTGGCAGATAGTCAAGATCTGTACTATTCTCTAAGCTTGACAACAGTAAAAATCACCATAATTTACATAAACGTCCACAGAATATTCTCTATTCATTCAAATCTTCAACATTTTCTTAATTTCCAAACAATCATGATGTTAGGAGCTTCAGATATTTATGAAATAAATAGAATTATTGTTAGTTATCTACCATTACCTTGTGTGTTTGTGGCGGTGGATATTCGAAATTATGCTAAACTTCATATACCGCTCATTCAGAAGACGAGTACGAAGCGTAGATAACGTTTATTATCACACCACACCGATCACAAAACAACAGACACACGAAGTGAAACGATATGCGAATGCCGTGGAGTGAACCTAAGATTTCATCCTAGCTAACTTTCGGTCAAAGACAAACGGGCTTAAAACCCCTTTCTCAGCCTGTTCCAACTAATGTATTTAGCAGTGCAGAATCATGGGTATTTTTTATTTACTTTGACTGAGTAGTCTGATTTAACTTGTTTATGTAGCCATTTCCTTACATGTTTCGACACGGTTTGCAAATCGAGATCACGCCTCCCTATATAATACCACTGGACGTGCACATGTAAATTGATAAAAACAGTGGGTTGTGTTACAATCGTTTACATGTTGTTTGAGTCTCTAGTGAACTATGAACTTTGTTTCATTGAAGTCATGAATCGACCACTGTTAGATCACCATTAAAAATAGCTTTGTAATATAAAGTTTTTCTGATAATTTATCCAATGGTATAAATTACACTATTCTCCTTTTCTTGTTTTTCCTCCCATCTTTAGATGCTTATAGTTAACATTTATTTTTTCATGTATAAGTGCCTTAATAAATATGTGATCATACTATTCAAAATGTTTTGAGATAATGTACAATATAATTCCGGCTTTTTCAATAGATTATCTAGATTTATCAAAGTGATAAACTGTTGTTAATTCCATTTCTTACATTATATATATATTCATTAGTGAGAAAAATAAGGCCGAAATATTTATGCAGTGAATAAAAGGATCTTAGTATACGAAATAGCATAAAATAACATCTAACTTTTAAAATGTGATATTTTTCAAGACAAAATATGAATGCATTATGAAACAATCATACTATTTTGTTTCACTACTTCAAATCCATAGAAAGTACTTCCGAAACTAGGATTACTGCCTCAAATATGGAGTTTGATCCATGCTAAGTTGAACCGAAGTATAAGTTGAAGATAGCTTAAGGCATTTATACGCAACCAAAATGAATTGTTCTTAGCTTCTTCAAATCATTATGGTTATTTCTTATCTGTTTTTAATGACGATGAGGGTAACAAAACCTATCGGGTTTTTCTAATTACATCTTTTTCCTATCTCTGTAATATTTCCAAATATTATTTATATTCACTTAAGCCTTCAGTAAATTCAATCACAGTTTTAACATAAATTACTTAAACAAGCAAATATGTTACTCAGATGTTTAAAGTGTACCAGGAAAATATACTGAACATTTTGAATCGACGTCTCTTTATCAAAATATTTAGATTTACACAGAGAAATAACCATATTATACAAGAATAAATTTAAATAGTTATCACTGAAAGAGTTATATATAAGCCAAACATGTATTTAACGACAGAAGCGTAAAAACCATCATTGACAAATTCCGAGAGCATTAAGAATGCTACTGAGTCATATATAAGTAGTAATAAATTATGCTTAGAATTCAGTATCACAAACGTTAAAAATTTTTGACAAATATTCATTAAACAATCTTTCTCTTCTTTCTTAGGGATTTCCCTCTGCAGCATTCTCCTCAACTGCAACAGATACCAATAAACATTTCGTTTTAGATCCTAATCTAACTCAGTATATTTTTGTAGATACTGCTAAACAACTTGTACCACATTACGAATATAATTTTAGAGCTTCAATAGAATTAATCCTCAAAAAGTGGAATTTAATTCCAGACAGCTCATCACAAATCTTCGCAGAAGGTAAAATTTTGTTTTTAAGTTACATAAATAAAAAAATGAAGACATTTTTCATAAAATTATTCCATTTATATTCCAAACATGTATTATCCAGAAAACATATTATTTTCATTGGATTTTAATTGTCAACTGTTTATTCAAAGCTTACACATTCTTATACTTTTTAAAGAGAATAATATAATACCTAATGGAACATAGGACATGTGGGATTTTAGTGCTTTTGACTATTTATCGGATAGTTCTATAGTTAAAAAGAACTTGCTGTACTATCGCATTGCTATGAGAAAGTGAATTTCAATTGAACGACAAATCTGTTATGGCGAATTTAGAAAAGCCGTTGTATTTTTCACAGAAAAATTTCAATGTTCAATGAAACCAGTCGACAAATGATTGAAAATCAGACTGGATTGGATAGCCATTTTGCCATCGATTAATTTTCAACATCTTACATACTATCAATGAAAAAAAACCCACTTGAAATCCATTTCAATTAAAAAGCTGAATAATTTTAAGAGGATTAGTATAAGTGAACTTAATTGGAATTGTTATCAGACGGTCATAGTTTGGCTTTATCATACCAATAACATCACTATATATTTATTCTTTTTCAGCTCCAATTCAAGCTTGTGCATTTCTTTCCGGTGGAGACGAATCAACATTGAAGGCAATATATGGAACAATGCAAAATACAATTCCTGTTGTACTTTTGAAAGTGAGTGAACTATGTAGATGAGTAAATTGTAGGTAAACCAAAAATATTTTTCGCAAATCAATTATTTTTTAAATAACTATTGTCAATATTGTGTTCTGATAAAATTATAAAAACTTGGACTTTTCTTGTTTTCCAAATTACCATAGACTTTTAGCTGACAATAATTTTCAAACTTATAAATCTTTCAATGCATAACTTATGTAGAAAATCGTTTCTTAGTCATTGTTTTTTACTGATTTATTTACACAGGATACTGGCAGACTTGCGGATATTATCATTCAGTGTATTGAAGATACTGAACTTGGGTCTAAGGCTACATATAAAAAATCAATCAGTGAAGGGTCAATTGGAACGGAAACATTTCAACTATCATCTGCAAAGTATGTTTTATTTCATTAAGAATTGGTTAAGCGTATAGTTGTTGGTTATAAGAAATAATATGAAATTCGACATCCTATTTGTTCAAACTTGCCTTTTTGTTGAAGTTATCAATTAGCACTAAAAGTATTACTTTAAAAGAACCATGTTGTGTTATGACTGAAATGAGCTTTAAAACATTAACAAGGTGTATTACAAATTGATGTGATTAACTTCATTTACTTTGTTGTAATGAAATTATTTTGCATTAATTTTGTTTTAAATTCACACTTTGTAATTTTAGTTAATGAGAATAGTTAATTTTCCCTGTATCCGATTGATGATCTCTTAATGTACTGTTACAACTTTGAGGTTTCTTAAAGACTATTTCGATTAAAACACTGTTGCCACAAAATCTTAGTGATGTGTCAGTGTTTAAAAATTTTGTAATACCTAAATTTATTTTGAATGATTGGAAAAAAAAATAATATTACTTGAAGATTTCACCATACTAATCAGATTTGCGGTTGGGCTGTGTGATCGGAATTCACAAGATCTTCTAATATAGAAGTGTTGATAGATTTAACTTCACCTCTGATAGTGTTTGAAGATGTGTTTTGAAGGCACTCACTTTGTGCGGCCTATGTAACCTGCCACGTAAGAGCAAGTGAACTTATAAATACACAGTGATGTGGATCAATGAAAGAGTTTGTCCTTAAAATATTCGTGAATCACGAGGACTATGCGAGGCTCAGCGACTTAAAAAGTCTTCATCACAGGTTTCGCAAAACGATGAGTTAAAATTTTTGCAGCCATATCTCCCTTGAACTCAATGTTCATAAAGATAATTGCCCTAGGAGCTGCTTGAAGTCTCATAGAATGTAGTCTTAGTTTCATGTAGCGCTCAACATATCGCAATGAATGGCCCTTTTTTGAACATCTGTCAGAGGTTGAATAGTTTGTCGTCTACCTTATCTTCCGGACCAAATCTCGTAGCCTTTGTTAATCAAGAGTGAACTAAAACTCCTTTTCTACTTAAAGAGGTCCATCTATAAAGATTCGTATGTTGTCCATTCCAAGTTGGTTTTTAGTATACCGAACTTTATAATACACCCACTTCTAATGAATAAAACATTGAGGAAAAGAAGTCTCTAATTCGTTTCTGATTCCATTGTAAATTTGATGGATGCAGCTATTGAACTTATCTAGGATAACATTGTATAGCTTATGTAAATGATATCATAGAAACGAAAATTGTCCCAATTCTTTTGCTACAACATCATGGGTTACTTTCATTACATGATTGTTTCTTTATTTTATAAACTGGTTTTATTTTCTAAGCATATTAAAAAAATAGTATTAAAACTTGATTACTTCATTTGATGCTGGAAAACATCATCACAATCAAATCGATATATCATAGTTTGAATATATTTTAACATTAGCCAATGTAAACACGGAATTGTTCCACTCAGGTTTAGCAAAGGTGCTCATTTATTATTCTATGTGACACTGAGCCACTTATCTTAAGAATTTGCGGCAATTATAAGACCCACAAACTAGTATTCAATAGTAATCTAGAATTTATAAGAACCTTTGTCTAAACTTGAACAAATAGTTTCACAGCATTCATAATAATCTAGAATTACCGAATTTTCAGTAGTTATTTAGTTGATGCTGATAAGTGAAGTTAACAAAATTCAAACAAAATAAATCTTCGTAAATCACATGCCTTGTCTAAATATAATGTTTTACAATGCCTTGTATAATTCTGTCTGTGTTGCATTTGTTGGATAATTTGAATTTCTATCGTAAGTATTATGATAAGTTTCACTGCCTACACTTGGAGTATTATCCTGAGGTAGGCTCTACTGAAAAGTATGCATTTTATGCTTATAAACCACTTGAACCAATCTCCTGAACCAACATTTGGTATTTTTTTAAACGCTAACTAAAACTTCATAGCAACCATTTTTACAAATGTACATTTACTGCTTTGAATTTGCTTGTTTTACATCTCTTCTGACCATCTAAATATACCAACTGAGTTCATGTACTAAAATAATTTTAAACAATTACTACAATTAATCACAAATCTATTTAATAAGAAATTCAAGAACCATCATCATGTTGAAGAATAATATATACCTTTTTCCCCTTTTTCTGTTTCTGGGGATATATGGAAGGTAATCAAGGTAGAAATCATACATCAAATATATTTGGAAATAAAAAGGAATATCATGAGATCAAGGCTTATCATAAAATCTAACTGATAAATATAAAATTGTTGCTAATCTTTGTTTAAAGATATTTTGTACACATTACTGAACAATCACTAGTTAAATGAATGTCATACAGTAATTTTAATGTAATTTGTAATATTTTATACTAATAATAATTTGATTTAAACAAAACTACGATATTGGCCAAATCTAATACTATAATTAATAATATTTTTCATTAGTGATTTATTCTAATAACTAGAGGGAATATTCTTTAACTGATTATGAATACTTCTTGCAAAGTCATTTAGAAGTCACTACAACATACCCAGTATAATTCATTGATTTTTTTCTATCCGATTAAAATGCATTTCATGTCAATTTATGTTTATCATTGTAGTATTAAACAAACTATGGAATATTATTGGGATCAAATTACACATCCAGAGTTATCTGTATTAATGATTCAAGAAATCTTGGAGAAAACATTTTTATTTAGTATTTGTGAAGCAGAAAGTGAAGATGAACATGGTGAATTAGATTATCATCTTTTATCTTTAATAATGAATCCTTGTAAGTTTATTTCCTAACTTGTGCTACATATGTCATGAATAATAATTTAAATTATATGTTGGTTGAATATTTCCACTAGAAATCGAACAGTGATATCTATGGTTTAGGTTATTAAATATTTCGAGATCCCTGTTCATCACAAAATTCATTTCCTTACTTTACATAGTTTTCAAAATTAACAAATAAATATAGACTCACCAACTGAGTGAACTTTCATCCGTATGAGAATTTTCCAAGTTGCTCTCGAACTAATAACTAATATGGAGAGTCAGTTAGAGGCGGCCAAACAGAAGGGCCATTTGATGATCATCAGAAATGTTCTAAAGGATGAATACATATCAGTGGTCAACAGACGGATTCATTTTCTAAGGAGGAGAAATATATATATATATATATATATATATATATATATATATATGTCTGGAAGAGGACGAGTATTTGTATATTTTTGTCCGGTAGCTAAACAGACTTTCCCTTCTGCGTTTGTCTTCTCATTCAGGCAACCAGTTTTGGGAGGTTCAGGTCTCGGACACCGCACATCATAACAACTTCCCAAACACTGAAACACTAAACAGTTAACAACCATAATATTTGATCATATAAGTCACCATTTTCTCAACAAGTTAAAAACAGTTCGCATTAGTAATGATTATGTATATTATAACATTACTGGCACTCAAGACGGAATCAATCTACTGCTTGGAACTAACTCAGACATCATCAAATTTAGAATACAAGAATATCAAGAAGACCAGTATCGTGATGGAAACTGAAATATAGTTAATCTTGACGAAATATACGTGTAAGACACCAACACCTGCAACTAATAATGGTAACCAATGATAATTACTGGATAGAAAAAGGTGTATTCACTTTGTCTAGATTTGCCATTAGATTTCTATGAATGGTTCGCAGATCTACATCTCTACGTTAAGTAGTGGACAACAGATGGTTGACTTATTTTGCAGAATTTCAATGAGTTCGATATACCAGTTTTTTGAGTTAAATACATTTAGATTTGAAACAATTTGATAATTTAAATATGTAGTCGTAGTAAGTTTATGGGGCATTTTTGAGTAGGTATTCAAAAACTATTCTAGAATTCGTTTCGAATGACAACAGTGTCAGATCTAATATCTCTGAAATGGAATATAACTAGCTAACATCAAAGCTGGATGAGAAAGGCATCTAAACAGATAACATTAGCGCCAGATCCTTCAACAGTTGAAAATTTTTAAGCTTGCTCTCATTACTAGATGTAACCTAGAGAAATACTGAGGCCAAGTAATGATTAACAGTTTTTTCTATACTTCGGGATGTAAATAATATTCACAATTGTACATTTAATCATGATATCACATAGAAAATAGGTCAAAATCTAATTTAGATAAATATTTATTATATTGTAAACATCATTCAATGTTATTTAACTTGAAAAACTAATACGCGAAGAAAGAAAACCAAGTTAAAAATACAACGCCTGCCTAGGAATGGTTTGTTAATAGAGAATAAAAGATGGATCAGTAATAAATATCCCAAAACTTATTACCATTTCATGTTTACTAAGTAGGAGATACGTTTACTATTGAAATTACATGAAAACTAGTTTGTGTCTTGACAAAAGTTGTTTTAATAAGCCAAACCTTTGTCAGCTGTTTATAATTCATTAACCCTGGGGATGTAGCAATTTCAGGGAATCTAAATTTTTGAACTTTTTTGAAATTTTTTTATCAAATATTATCTATGTTTTAGCTATGAAGGAGAATGAAAAACCTGATGAACTAAACGAAACTCTTCTTTCCATTGCTATTGCATTAAATAGAAGTGACATTGCCAGGGATAAAGTATTTATAGAAGGATTGAAGTGGGATGTAAGTGAACAATTGCTTACTAGTTTTATAACATACACTTTCTATCAGCAAGCTAAGCTTCTATGTAACATAATAACTGAAGTTTGATTATTTGTGTTAAATAATTTAATTTTTTTCCTCAATCATCATTCTAGATGCTACAACTGCACTCTGTTTAAAAGCCTCATTTCTGTTTATAATAATGTAAATGTTGACTATCAAGACTGTGAATCTTTTAAAATCTACTTATTTTCTACGACAACAACTATTAACTTTGGATACTCAAGAAGAGAATACTGAAAGTCATTTTAATCACTATCTATTTAGATGGTCTGAGAGGAACTGTTTAGTTTGAAGTTAGACTTCACTACTGATAGATATCGACAACGAAGCATCATTAGATTACTTTCTCGTCCTATTTTGAAACATTTAACTAGCAAAACGTATATGTCATTGGCTAAACAATAATGAATCATTAATTAGCCCCTTTTTTCATTCCTAATCAACACTCAATACGAAAATAAACCTAATTCGTTGAAATGAACTGTTTCTAGATTGACTCAAAATACAGAAGAATATATATATATAAATATGTCGTTTCAATTGATGAATAATTATTTCTTCATATGTTAGACTATAAATTCCTATCACATGAATTAGGTAATAGTCGAAAATATGAAAACGCAAAGATAATAATCATATTTTGCTTACTATATGAGGAAATATTATTTGTCAAACAATAAAAACGTTAAATATTCGACTGACTTTAAATATTTCCTTTCTTTAAAAATTTATTATTTATTTACGCTGTTCTATAGAGTAACCCTTATCATAACTTCCCTCTTGATTCTTAAATATATCTTGTAAATTGTTAGGCTACGTATGAATATGATAAATTCCTTTTGGAATAGTTTCGATGTTTTCATATACCTTGATTTCTATCTCTACAACCAACTACTAAATGTTTGAGGTAAGTTTGGTGGACTAAAATAGTACAATTCAGTGTAGAGTAATTCGGACACGGCGTTTTGATGAAACTGCTCCTTTAAATCTAGACAAAAAAAATCATGTGAACTTTCGTTCATGTTTGTAATTTACTTCTGGTTACTTCCACTGCTTACTGACTTTCAAGATATTCGCGTAAAATACACGAACCAATTACTTATCTATGTTTATATTGTAGAATTCCAAATTAGTAAAACATATGAATTCATTATTATTATCAAACAAAGTACAATTCATTTGTGTATTTATCGAGAAAGGATTTTTATTATCGAATTATTTAACTGCGGAAACACTTCAGCTGCTTTATACTCAATCAATTCATTCAGAAGTAAGTTGAAACAATTTATTGAAACTTTTTCCACAAGGGATTCTGGAAAGTTTGTAACCGTATTTATTTATATTTTATTCACACTCTCAACATTCTGATGCTATTCGGTAAAAATCTCATGAATGTTTAAGATTTAGGTGGATAGCTATGTACATTTGCTTGCAAGATGTAATTTAAATTATTCTGTTTACAATTAAACTGTAATATCGGTTTACTGTAAACCAAAATATCTAGAATTTCTTATACTTGCCTAGGACCTCTTTGTGTCTCAGTGAAATATAGTAAAAGTCTCTTTAAGTTAATAAATATTGTTCAACAGATAAATATGAAGTAGAATCATGTTCAGAATTTGAACTATTATTATAAAATTCACACCTAAGTGGTTTAGTTTTCAAACCTGAAGGTTTGACAGTTGAATATCAAAAAAAAGCTATTTCATATGTAAAAGAGTTATTGTTTCGTCTTTACTGTACACCATATTTCCCGTGAGATGTTTAAGATTTCACAATCCAATCATCTGTTTGACGAAAGAGGAAGGGTGAGAATAAACAGGCTGGTATGGAACCGGTCTTCACTGGGGATGAATTCATAAGCTGTCCTCTATGCATGGATTTTACAGTGTAGTCCGTTGTAAGAATTTCGTATGATGGTAACGGTCTTCTCAGGTTCGCCACGTTGTTGAAAATGTTCCATAATATTCTTCTGCACACTGTAAAATGTCTCCACATGGTCAAGGAAACTGATGAATAGTGAGCAGTAACATTCAGTTGATTGTTCAACATTGATCTGTAGCGTTGCGATCTGTTTGGTACTCAATCAATCAGTCAATCAACAGCATCGTAAAACTACGTACGTACTCACGTGCTTCAGTTCAAGTTGTCATACCGAATTGTCAGTTCAAATCCCATAGTAGTAGAGATAATGGAAGAATTAGCAGTAATCGGAGAGATTAGAGTTCAAGGATATTATTCAAGAAGTAGGATCTAGTGAAATAAACTTGAAAAGAAAAAGATAAAGTGATGAGGAACTCAGGAGGTTTGGATTTGAGAGAAAAATAATAAATGCACCTGAGCTTTGCAAACGGTTTTGAGCCATGTCATTCAGGATCTCTAGACATCGATTACTATCATCTCGCGGGCTCCAACCAGGTAGTCTACATCTACCAACATGACTCAATCCACTTGTCAGTGACTTCATGGATTTCTGCCATGTTTTGGTCTGGCCACCCCTAACTTTCTTCTAACCTATTCCTACACCGCAAAACATAGCTCGACGAGGCAGTCGTTGGTTAGGCATACGTAACACATGTCCAAACCACCTCAACTGATGAAGTTTCACTACTTTATCTATTGACCTGCCATCCTTACCAGCACCCGATCTTTACGGAATCTAGCTTGCTAATCTCGAACTTGGGCACCCACTATGTCTTTCATTTTGTTCACCAACACCGCGTTGAACACATTTTCGGTACTGATCCTAGTGTGATGCTCTGTAGTCCTCATACTTAATGAGATATCTCATCTTCGATATCTTAGTGGGGCATCCTTTCTCCCAGTCTCTCAGTACTCGTTCTTTCTCTCAAATTTCGATGAGTGGAGCTTGGGACATCTTTGCAGTTATTTCTATGTCTGTTTTCAATACCTCATCTGGTATGATGTCTGATACTGCTGATTTACCGCTCTTGATTTGTATGACGACCATACTGATTTCTTCGACTGCTGGTAAGAGGACATTTATAGGAAGAAAGTTGCTTTGATGACCGGTAGATCCTGTGGCGCTGGTCTATTCAACAGCTCTTGAAAGTGCTGTGTCCGCCTGTTCCACTGTACTTGGATCTCAGTGAGAGGTCTTCTTTCATTGTTCTTTCCACGTTGTCCCGGTTTACTTCACCTTCCTTTTATGCTATTATTGCTAGATCTTCCACAAATTCCCGCTTATTAACTCTAGTGCTTCAGGATATTTGCTTCTTTGCTTCTATGTATTTGACCTGTTCCTTGGTTTCTTTTGCTATTATTGATCGGCTGATACTGACTGCTATCCTTCTGTTCCTTCTATCTCGAATCTCATCTAGAGTATCAACAGAGATCTATTCCTTGTGATGGTGCTTTCTGTAGCCCAGAACCGAACGACAATCCAGTTTTTCTCCAAATAGTTTCCTTTTATTTGAGTAGATCTTGAAAGATCTGCAACTTGTTGTTCAGAGCGATCTTGAGTTTGCCGAGTTTGTCACTATCCCAAAGAATGATCTTATTACATTTTCGTAATTCAGTTTCTCTTGTTGTTCAGTGCCTCATTTGCTTTACTTTATTTTTGGTCATCACAAAGTGTTAATATGAAGCTATGTCAGCTCCTCTCCTTGTCTTCACGACTTTCATGTTCCTTCTAAACATTTTTTTGATACAGATGTGATTCACCTGGTATGTGAAGTATGGTTCGATGAAAATCTATGTAGCGTGTTTTTCTTTTGTGTGGGGATATAGTGCCACCTATAACCATTTTGATGAAAGTTCATAGATTTTCAGGTCTCTTGTTATTTTCATTCATTGCATTAGCTCTTATCTTCTAACTTTATCCTCATGTTCTATGTAATCCGTTCCAACCTTGGCATTTCGGTTTCCTGTCACTATGGTCAGGTCCTTTCGAAGGCATTTATGAATGACTGACTGCAGCCTCACATACGATTGATCTTTATTTTCTTTGTTGTAATCATTGGTGGGCGCATAGTACTGATTCACATTCATTGTAATTCGCTATATCTTTGTTCTGAAGAATATTTTGATTATCTTTGGTCCATGAGATTCCCGCCCTATAGGTGCCTTTTGTGCTTCCTCGGGTAACACTAGTACAACACCTTGTGTATGTGAGGCGGTTTCTTTGTCATATTCGGAGTACAACAGTATCTCTCGAGAAGATAATCTTTTCTGTATTGCTTATATCCAATGAGCTTCACTTATTCAAAGTACTATTAGGTTCGGTCTTTTTATTTCCTCAGCAATCTGAATGGTTCTGTGAGTCTTGCACTTTGTCCAAAAACGGAGGTATACATATTTTCATATTTATATATTCAAAATAAACAAAAAAAAATTGTTGATTAGAATGAATACGCTACAGATTCTTCCTTGGCTAAATATCAATAGAAATAATATTGACAGATACAGCATACTAATGATTATTAAGAGTGATATTATAGACACTTTGATTTTATAGGACACTGAAACATAGTTAGTCATTGAAATAAATTTATAGGTTTGGAACAAGATTTCCAACTACTCAGACTGTATGCTTCTGATCACAAACTAGATGTTTTCAAACGATCTCTTGCAAACTGTCATTTCCCTGTAATATATTTTATGGCTCTTTTGATAATTACTAGGTACGTTTAAGCCTCTATATATGTTTTTTTTAAATAATCATCATTCAGAGAAATGCCAGTAATTATCAATTTAATTGTAAAAACTACTACAAACTATTTTTTTTGTTTAGCATCCTGGTGAAACTTTGATTAATGTGATTCGTGGATTTGTTAAGGTAAGATATTTATTGATTATTATATTCTCTACTACGTACTACAAACATCACAGTACTTGAAATGATAAACTAAGCAGAATAATGATATTTAATTTACTAACTTTACTAGTTAAATATCCCTTTGCTCAACTCGTTATAATAAAACGTCATAAATGATAATATAACAAAGAATTATGATTTGTAACAGTGCAGCAAATACTTTAAAAATAAATAATGCCCGTTAGTAGATATTGATTTCTAAGATATCTCAAAGTGCTTCTAAACAGTTGTGTGGTAATTTGTCTGTTTACAATGGTTTTCCAGTCTATGTTAATTCATGATAAGAAAAATAAACCTTGATGATACAAAAAATCTTAAAAGCAATTTCTTTTATTCAACTATTATTAGACATTATTCAGAAAGATTATTTGACAAACACGCTGCACTTAATCTTTTACTGCTTAATATAAAATTATTGATTCACACTGGTAAATAGACGATAGTTTACTATCTTATTTGTATCCAGCCTAATCTAAGAATCTTAGATCGGAATTTAATAAAAAGGGAGTAACATAACTGGAGCTGTACTTTAGGTCTAGTTTGCATGCCAAATAATATAGGTTACTTACTAAAAAACTGCAAGTGACCTTGATATCGTATACATTTTAAAACTTTTATCTAAGTTGGCAAAGTTTATTGAATTCAGATATTATCATCAGAATATACAAATATGAGTATCACATTCTGTAGTTTTTTTAAAAGTGATATTTGATTAAATAAGTTGCAGGCATAATGACAATTCCCTAACAATTCAAAGAAACAACAGATGAGTTCAAACAACAATGAACTATTAGGAGCATTGTATTACTAACCAAAATCAGCGAAAGTAATTGATGCTAAGCTAAAATGATCTACTGATTAATTCCTTCAAGCTACCGTATATGAAAATCAGTATAGCTTCTTAAAACGAAAGGTTAGTTAAACTAAGTTATATTTCATCGCAAATGAGTTAAACGAAGTTTTGGGTTATTATCATGTACTCAGTTACCCAAGATTGATGGTTCTGTCATTCATTTAGCTTTTGACTTCGTCGATTTAGTAGGAAAGTTTATTATTCTTAATGAATTTTACATATCTTCTTCTCTCTTACAATAAAAAAATGTGATCTAATAAGAAATTGCAATCGAAATTCATATTTTCTATTTTATTGATTTGATATGAAATTTGTTTTTCTCGTAAATGAGTTCAATCTTTCAATATTAAAATGTTTCATTCGATCACTGATTATATGTTCACATTGAAATGACGAAAAGCCGATTGCATTATGCGGTTGTAATGACTGTTAAGTTACACATATGAATTGATGAATCGATCAATGTTAGACCACCATTAGAAACCTGGGAGCAATGGACGGCCGTTTTGTCCTAGTATAAGACTCATCAGCAGTGCGCATCCACAACTCCTGTGCCTCACAGGACTCGAACCCAGAACCTTCGGCTGTGTATGCGAGCGCCTAACCTCTGGACCAGTGAGCCGGTACCTAACGGTGTTAATGTATAACTTCGATAAGTTCACCGTTAGGTACAGGCTCACTGGTCCAGAGGTTAGGCGCTCGCATACACGACCGAAGGTTGTGGGTTCGAGTTATGTGGGGTGCAGGAGCTGTGGGTGCGCACTGCTGATGAGTTTTATACCAGGACAAAACAGCCGTCAAGTGCTTCAAGGTTTCTAATGGTGGTCTAACATTGATCGATTTATGATTTCATAAAGCATATTGGCAATATATTGGAATAGAAATATGAATCAGTTTATAAGTCACTATGTTTATTAATAAGGTTATCATAGTTTGATTAAATTCAAACATTCTTGATGGACTTTTCATAGGTGATCAACTTCAAAATTTAGAAAAACGTAAACAATGACAAATGAAATTAATATTCTTTTTTAAAGAATACTTAAAAGTGCTAACAAAAAGTTTACTTGGATTAGTGTTTAAAAAAGTATTTTCATGTGTTAACAATTAGAAATTTACTAGTTTTGGAAAAATGTTTTCATAAATTTTGTAAAATTATTTAGATTCCAGATCAGATTAGTCTTTATTTGATTGGTCGTGCATTGCGTGAACTTATTGGTAGACAATTTTGCCCGACTTATTTGGCTCCTCACTTTTTCTTAATAACTACTGGTGGTAAGTAAGCAATATTAGTTATTGTTAAGTTAGTATTTAAGTATTCATAATACCTTGTTGATATTTTATTTATACTAAATTTATAAGCTTATTTTATTGTACAGATGATTTGCATCATATGTCTCTTTATGCATTTCAATAAAAATTAAATTTAATTTAATCACGAAATAGAAATACTTGAATATTTCATCATAAATTAAATTAATATTTAACGACTAGAGTATTTTTTTAGTACATTCAATGTGGAGAAAATAAATAAGTTAGTAAAAGCGATCAGTATATTTTCAAACCACTTATGACAAAAGATTGCAGCCGTCTGTAAGAAAAACGAGAGCCGGTTTATAGAAAATCTGTTCAAATGAGAAATGATAACTAATAGTGATAAAATATGGACTATTAAACTGCATTATTAGGACGATACCACCTAGTAAAGTGAGTACCTTATGATACTAGGAAGCATTTAATAAGGGAAAAAGGAATCAAGTCTTTTGTGTTTGGTTTTAACGATGATGTGACTTCTGGTAAAGTTTAAAGTACTTAGACTACTCACAGTAATTTGAATAAAAACGCAATTTAAACAGCGTCGTCGTACATTTTTGTCGATAACGTGTTACTTAGTTCATGTAGTGAATTACAGGCATTAGGCTACAGTTCATCCATCAGATTAAGGGGTTTTAATATCTAGATAGTCTGAACCGAGGTTTCATGCTAGATGAGATTTTTCAACAATCTGTACCTGAAATCAGTGAAAGAATGATTATTTCAGTCGAATTTAAACTTTGGAAGGTAAACAAATCGACGCAAAACTTCAAAATAAACCAGTGGTTGAATAACTCGCTCTTTAAGGGGGTCAATCGTGGACTGTTAGGTTAAGTAAAGTAGACTTTGAATCAGCTCTTGAGTTCTATTGGTTCATACCCTTTGATGATAATGGGATTTCAAAATAATAAGAAACGGTTTTCTGGTGTTTCCAGGTTTTTGATGATGGTCTAGGATTGATCTGTTCGTGATTTCAATGAAACTGAATATTCTGTACAACCTATTGATGACTTTTATGTCTTCGTCTATAGATTTCAAGTAATTTGTTGGTACAGGCTTTCGAATTGCGTTTTGTTGACATTTTTATGTCGAACATGAGACTTAAACTCTGGAGAGAGAGCTTCATTTTCAATTTTGTCTAGCTTTAAACTCGACAGATTGTGAATATATTTGTTCGAAGGTTCAGAGAAATCTTCATGTATTACTTTCTTCACTAGGGAACTTCACTTGTGCATTCTCAAAAGATTTGGATGTAAATAATGCATTTCGAATAATTCATAGATAAAAGTATTCAATCTTATTCCGCTTTACAGAGGAAATCGCTATCAAACGTTTCCGATCTGACCCAATGTAAACAGAAGGGAAGTTTGATTACCTTTTCCCTGTCAGAATGATTCGATATTTATCCAATAACTTTTATGAATTTTAATTCTTAGCAATTTTTTAAACCCTGACCCTTACAGTTACTGATGCTCACATATATGCTTGTTTTACCATGTTGAATAGTTATCCAGTCACTCATTAATATTCATTACCTTCAAATAACCTCATTTTTTACCTTCATCATAACATTCGTCTTACTCTGCACTTTTACTTTTCACAATATGAATACGCATCGATCTATTCATGTACCTGGTATTCCCTATTATTCTTATGATTTCACGTCTCAAATATTTTTCTAAACTTTACAAACTAAAGTATGTATGACATTTCTTAATAATTATATCAATAAATATGATTATAAGTTATATGCGGCTGATAAGAAACTAAAATAGAATGAGTTCATTTTATTCTGTAAACTATGTTGTTCTCGCTCTGTTTGAATTTGTCGAAAATAATCTTCACTACTTACGGAGAAAAATAGTAAAAGAAAATTATTTTTTTTAAATAAATACTGACAGTTTTATAAAACTGAATGCTGTAAAATTAGCATTCACATCATAAAAGAGAACTGTGGAAGTGATTAATTGGTTGAAAAAATGTTTATCATTTCATCAACTGTTATTTGAATGCTTCAATTTTCTTTACCTTGGATTTCAAGCGCCAAAATCACAAATATTTGAAAATCCTGCAACTGATTTATTTATATGGGCTTTATTGACTGAACGATCGGAATTAGCCGATTATTTTTGGACACAAGTTCAAGATCCACTTCCTGCTGCATTGTTTGCTGCTTTATTACTACGGCGTTTAGCAATGAATGCAACATCTTTGGTAACTAGAGAAGGGATGTTTGAATATTCAAGGTATAATTAATAGTTTTGCAAGTCATTGAATATTAATTCCAATATTATGTATGACGAGTGTCTATTATTATTTATCTGTTATGTAGAATTACGGTTAACAGTTTTGTACCGAAGATTCATTTAATAAACTTTAACAACCACCATATTGCAGGTAACTAAATGATGTAAAGTAAATTAACATAACTACAGAAAAAACAGTTAAATGTAACAATTTCGTCGACCTAATATATTAATCTCTATCAACTTCAGTATATGGAAACGTATGTAATGAAACTAATCATAGAAGAATTTTGTAATTGCCTTTGAAATTTGTTTTGAGAATGTAAAATGCGATGAGTTGTTTTTGTTAATTTTTATTGTCACTTTCTTCAATGTATGCTTTAAATTATGTGACCGTATAAAGTAATAGTTGAAAATGTAAAATGAGAGGAAGGAGTTCAGGAAATTTTGCTTTTTCATATTTCTGTAGTCTTTTTTAATGATAATCTGTTTGAGGAAACATTCAAGAGCAACGGTTCACAAATTTTAATCAATATCTAACAAAGTAAATAGTTAAGTGTGAGATTATATCTGTAAAAATCTCCAAAAATGAGATTAGATAGGCTGTACACTCACGTGTAATATCTCATCTGTACTTTGTAAATGAAATAACCCAGTATCAAACTGGTTAAACATATATCAGTTAAATCATGAGACTTTCTCTACGTAACTACTATTTAATTATATCGGAATATCACTTCCATTTATTTTTCATAAATATGAGTTAGAGAGTATGAAATAACGGTGGATATAATAAAGAAAGAATAGAAATGTTGATAAATAGAACCAAAATTATGAAAAAAACCTCATGTTCTGATGTATTCTGTCACCGCAGACTACTGACTAAAAAATATGTCTAGCAACAAAAAAATTATCCATTACACAATGGCTTTGATAACTAACATGCGTCTGTTACCCCAATGGACAATAGGCCGCCCTCTTACTCTGTTTTGAAGGACGCTTTGATGATCCTGGATCAATGAGATTCTCATCCAATACGTGCCTTTTTTGCTTGTTTGGACAGCGTCAGTGAAACTGCTTGTGTGTGTGATACATTTTATTCTTTATGACCGAAGTAGAACAGCAGCTCTCCTGAAGATATATTCAGTTGTACAACTTGCATCCAATGCGTTTCGCTGATTCCAAGCACCTCCAGGTTGTATCTTTGCATTTCCACAGCCACTTGGAATAGTTTTGCGGTCTCCCACAATGTTCGGACATTCCATGCACATAAAAAAATGGTTGCTCTGGTTGTGAAAAGGAGCATCGGCCACGTGACTTCCGAGTAAATTCGGCTTTCATCATGGGACGTCATAACTCCCCTGAATGAAGACGTTCTAACTTTCAGGGCAGAGTTAAAATGGTCAGAATCGATTTTCCTGGCTAGTGTTCTTTTAGCGAGTTAGTTTTCTGCGCGATGGAGTGACCTACCCTATGCTCAACCCTGCTCCCATATCCGGGATTGGGACCGACGGTAGCCCTAGACGGGCTCCAAGAGGAGTTGTAGTTACTAATTAATGAAATGATATCGCAATGATCTACATAGGGTTCGATTTATTTATGTTTGTTAACTGATCATTATTGTGAACAGAGTTATTATATGATTGATTATGTAATGACTCAGACTTTATTATTATTTAAACATAAAAGTGATGAATGCCCACAAAACAAATCATGTGATCACAAACCCAAGAATTCTCAAATTTCACATGAAAACCCTCAAACTTCAGACTTCACTTTACAAGGGCGAAACAAGTGTCAAGTACTCCCTAGTTTTCAATGCTTTTCCAAATGATGTCACTTTGTGAAAAAAACCCAACTTATGCAAACAGCTATGTTCCTACATATTTTTTTTTATCTTTTTCAGATCTTTTGAATCGAAAGCTTACAGTTTATTAACTGAATGCTTTAACGACAATCAAAGTCTTTCATTTAGAACAATTGTACTTGAAAGAAAATTATTTGGACACATGTCATGTCTTATGCTAGCTGCTGAAGGCAAATCCATGAGTTTTATTTCACATCAGTGCTCTGAACAATACCTTGAACGTGTTTGGAATGGAATCATTGATCCAAGATCAGGAATGTTTCCGGTATAGTAGTCAAATTGTTTTATTTTTTACATCATTTCCAGTAGATCATTTTAAGCATTGTTCTCAGTCATCAACAATTTTTCAATAATTATTTATCATTAATTATTGCAAAACCTGAGTATATATATGAATATATATCTTAGACTCAAATGACGAGATAATCAATTACTTCTTCTGTCGATTGATTCTTTGAATGTTTTAATGTGTAATTCTATCTCGTTAACATGAAAGAGGTTGACAAAGAACTAGAACTATGAATTCATCTTCAAATTTAGCTGGGATTTTGTTTTATTTTCTAAGATTATTTTGTAAATATTTTTTAACGTCAGAAAAAGACGTCATATCTACACTCACACCTTGAAGCATAGGATTCATTGAATTTATCAACAACTACAATTGTCAAATTTTGCGCACAACATGATGACAATGATTTTTAGCACAGAGTAATTAACCGTTTATCAGTAGGTGAATAAAAAGGCTGTTAGATCATAACCGTTAAAGCTCATTGATGATAGGCTCAAGAATATCGTATATTCATTTTTATGTTGTTAGTTAGTTTTAATTCAATGATTATTCGCTGATAAACTGTACCAGACAAACATTATTATTCATTTTATCCATCAAATTACAAAAACATTTGAATAGGTTGTCATTTTTTAACGTAATATACAAGTTAAATGCATCAAAATCATGTGAATGATGAAGAGAAACACATGCCGACTTTCGATAGCAAATAAATAATCCATCTATTTTCTTTTCAGTTTATTGTAGCATTAATAATTGGCATAACCTTACCTCCATTAGTACCATTGTCATTGAAATTCAAAGTTAAAGAGAATGAAGCTAGTAAATTGGAAACAGATAAAAAATCTAAAATGTCATCCGATAGAAAATTGTCTACAGATGTAAGTTTACTATTTACATGATCAAATATGATGACTTTCTTCTGATTATATTTGGTGATGCATAACAGTGTTGAGTAATGAGTCACGTTAATTACAATTCACTGTTAAAACGATATGACTTTATGAACTTCGACAGAATTTGATGAGCATATTAAGAAATTCTGTACATGAAAAAACTAATTTTACCATCTTTGTAAGGCTAACTAAATATTCATCCTGCATCATAATTGCTTGTAATTACTAACCTGAGTGTAAGATAAGAAAGACTTCAAAACGTTGAAGAATTGCTATGATATAATTTAAAAACATTTTTATATCAAACAAAGTATTTTAATGATTAGCTTTTAGCTATCATATTTCTACAGGATCGAGTGTCTGATAAAATGACATAAGAATAGAAGTATCATGATATTCTGTTTTGCTATTTTTAACTAGTTTTGCATTCAATAATATAGAATTGACAAAATTCTACAAGTATATGGTTTTCTACAGACATACAAATTATTTGTTTATTGGTTCCTGTTATATATAGTCACAGCTGATAAATCGCTTAAATTAAACACCCATTAAATTTCACAAACTATAATTTAAGTCAAATACAAAGTTATCATATGTAGGGTTGGTAAATGGTTCTGATTACGAAGATGATTTGACCTTGGTGTGATGATAAATGATCAATAGGCAATTGAATAATAAAATTCAAAACATGTGGCTTTTGACCTTAGAATCTACATGATTCTATTTCATGATTCTTAGTGATTATTGCTCAAGCCACTAATACCAAACTATGATGATTAATGAACTTTTATATATGTGAATATGATATTGATTAATAAACAATAATATAAGGGCTCTTATAAGTAAACTGTTTCAACTGAAATTAAATTTTGAAGTTTCCCCATCTTAGAAAACTTTAAAGCAAATTTAGCCATATGGGGGAGTTACTTCGATACTCTTTCTTTCTTTAGAGTGATAATCATTGAGAATAATCCATGTGACACTTTGACACATGACGATTTGAACGTTCTATGCTCAACATTATCTACAAATCTCAGTAATATTATACAGAGATAATACTTATATTAATCAAACAGTTGATGCATAGATTAATTCATATGTTATACTTCAAAATGTGATTTTTGATCTATGGAAATGACCTGTTATGACTGTGATCGTTTATCCCCTTTTATCTTTAGGCCAAAAGACAACCATATGAAGCCTCTCAAAGGTGAGTTGTACATAATTTACTTGAATAAAGTTTGTTGAGTTGGTCAACATTACATTGAAATTGGGACAAGATATCATTATACTCTTATAATAGTTCTTGGACTTTAAGGCAATAAGCTCATATTGTTCTAAACCAAAGGAAATCTAAAATATCAGTATACATTTCGAACAACAAGCGCAAATACATCACATTTTTCAGATCAATTACGTCTTCTCACTGTTCTATCAAAATTTATAAAAGGGACTAATTGTTTTAAAATATCAGTGTTAATTTGGGCTTACTGTTAGGAACTACATAGATGTATACGTTTTTTTTCAAATTCATCATAATGAGATGACCTCGATTTCGGCGTTATCTGCAGACTTGATTGACTCAGCTGTTTACAACTGGTTTTTAGAACATAAAAAACGTTCTTTCTTTATAATTGACACTGGAAATTAATTTGAAACCATGAATTGATCAGTGTTAGGTGGTTAGGTGGTCGCCTACAGTACAGAAGGTCCTGGGTTCGAATCCTGCGGGGTGCAGGAGTCGTGGATGCGCACTGCTGAGGAGTCCCATACCAGGACGAAACGGCCGTCCAGTGCTTCCTGGTTTCTAATGGGGGTCTAACATTGATCGATTCATGGTTTCAAATAAAACTTAACAATCTTCACCACAACCCCGTAATGCAAATTGGAAATTAAGCAAATTTAGCTGGAAACATTAAACTATAACTTAGTGAAAATGTTCTAATGATTTGAATTCAACAAACTTCTGTTTTAGTAGAAACATTCAATCAACACTTACAAATTGTATTTCTAAACTAATGAACCATATCTTTTATTTACTGTTTTAGTGCCAGAAACTCATTATCTTTATATTTTCAAAAGCTTCAAGGATTTTATATATCACCTTGTGTACGATTTTCATATACAACAGTAAGAAACTTATAGTATATACATATATTGATATAATTTACTTGAATTTTGAATGAAGTACTAGTATTAATGATAATATTAATCTACGAACATTTTCATTTGTGGTTAGGATAATTTAAGTAGCAATGAAATAATACGATGAATATTTCAGATTGTTGTCCTGTCTGACAATGCTATGAAAAGATATTTATATCTTGTCTTTCGAAATTCTTTATCTCACTGAAAATTAATAATATAAGCTCTTATATGACTTTTATTGAGAAGCATCTTGATACATTTTCATATTACCGTTCAGTCTCTTCCTTATATTATTCCATTTTAACTCAAATCTACAGTTAATAATGATCAAAACAGGGCTGTAGAGGTTGTTGAATTTCACTGAATTCATACAAAACGTTCTTTTTTTTCTACCTACGTACCTAAGACATGGAAGGCGGAAATGTAACCTAGAACCTTCTGTCTAGCACACGAATGCCTGAACTTTATACCACTGAACCGGTAACTGACGGTGAAAATGTCCAACTTTAATTAATTCTCAACTTTTGAGCATGGAGTCGTGGAGGTACACTGTTAAGAAGTTTCATATTAGGATGAACTGACGATCCAGTGCTCATAGGTTCTCAATAGCTGTCTAACATTGATCAGTTCATGAATTTAATGCACTGTTGATAAATTTAGAATTTTCGAAAGATATGAAAGACTTTTGCTTGTTATTCGACAGCTCTTAGACAGCTTTATTGATTAAATAGTTCTATTTTTTTTAAATTATCTTATTTTATTTATGGAAGAGCATCACTAGTAAATGGTATTAAGCGACATATTCAATTGAGGTCATGAATGAAATTTCGAAATGTCATAAAAAACAATCTAGATACATGTTTGTTATTTTAAAAAAACCTGCATTCTCGATACATAAATAGTGTCTACGTTCATTAAATAAATGTATCAATATTCAGTCTATTTGATTATACCACCAAATTAGTAGACACAATCAATATTCTACTACATAAGACCTGACACTGTCTTACAAATAATTATTATATCATGAAAATCTCAATCTCAAAAACAATTTAATATATAAGTCATTGTTCCTAGTAGATTTGCATTATGTTTTTTAAAATAATATTATTATTGTAAACACACAAAGTGTTGTATGATATTTTCAACAACAAAGCTGTCTATACCAATCATACCTTGAATAAATCAACCACATCACACCTCTGTGTGTTGTTTCATTCTTTGAAAGATTTCACATAAAACCTACAACAAATTACCTAAAATCAAATAAAATGTGAAGAATCCTTCAAAAATCATGATCCTCACAATTAAAGTCATTTTTTTCAGGTTTATTATTTATTGATAATTAATCAAAAATTCCGATTTAATTCTTTCTTTTTATCTTTTTTTCACAGATCTCCTACATTGCATTTTTATGCTTTTTTACCTACGTTTTATTATTTACTGTTGACCTACTCTTACCCGTGTATTCATTTCAAAATGTTCTTTTATATATATGGGTGATTTCTTTTATTGCAGAACATATACGTCATGTGGGTTCATATTTATTGCTAATTTTCAATATATTGTTGATTGTTATGTAATTTGTTTTAAAATGGTGAATATCTTTAAAAAAAATTACTTTCTATTTAAACAAAGAAGCATGATAGAAATGAGTAAAAAAAGATATATTTCAATAGAGTAGTAAGAGTACCAGGTTAAGTAGAATAATATGAATTCATTTTACTTCACAGTTTTTCATCAACTGCACACAACCCAAACATAATAGTATTGATCCTTAAAAATTAGTGCCCGTGTTTTAGATTAAAATATCAAAGAAACCACAGAATAAAAGGAATTCATGCTATTCCGTCATGTCTTTTGTTCTTGTTCTACGTATATTTATATAAACGTATATGTTAGGATATTGAAAAACCATTTAAGAATCAAGTTGCCATTGCGATTTTTTGGCATAAATAACTTAACAGAATCACATGGTTCAGCAGCGTATTTCACTTAACTCTGCTAACCGGATGGATATCGTAGTACATCACTTCAGTTCGTTATCGATCGCGAGAATGGACGATCAATTTTAATGCGGGATAACGGATAAGAAATTGCCAAGAGTTAATTAGAGTAATATTGATTAGTTTTCATGTATATTACTCAGCAACTCTGTCTTCTAACATCCTAAAAATTCAAACTGAAACTTAACTACCTTAAATTCAAATTCATAACCTGATAAGTGAATTTCTAATAAATATAATTTTGTTCTAGTCTGAAATTATTACAAGTTTCAGTAATCATGCTGTAATTTATGATATATGTATTTGGTAGCATGATCCAATTGTTGCTTCCTGTATTTGATTTAGCTTCGTCTGATGTTGATGTGAATAATTTCAGTTTTAATCCACTGTAAAAAGAAATTTTTCACAATATTTCACATCTGGTATTGATAGTTTTTGACTGTATTACAATTTATGCTACTGAATAAAATGATGATTACCCTGAAAATTTATATACGTAAACAAATTGAACAAACTAGCAAAAAACATCACACTGAATTGTTTGAACTACTTAAACAAGTTCATTCATTTTGAGACCTAATACCATGCTTACTTATTCAAATAAACAGTTCCACGTAATCATTATAAAATCAATTACTTTACACAATCGATACAAAGGTTAAACGTAAATAATCGATCACACATTTCCAAAAATAGTTTTTTTTAAGGTCCTGGATCTGAAATTTAATCAATATACATTATAACATAACCTATTTTGAATGAGACAAAAGCAGTGAGATAATAATTAAAACTTTAATAGATTTGATTAACCCATATTCAAACTTTAATTATTTTAAGCATATTTTACAAAAATCTGTAACAGTCATTATCTGTTACCCAACTTCACTTACTAAAATTTTCTAATAGTTCAATCATTGTGCTAACCATTCCAAAATGTCCTTCATTTTGTCAACGGACATTTGAGATGAAAAATGTACCTAGAACTAAAACGTACAATAAAACTGCCGAACTTTATTCCACGATCTGGACAAGTATGGCCTTCATAGAGACAACTTATACTAAATTCTTTCGAGATTCAAACTTATATATATATATATATTTTATTGAATATTAAACAAGAGTTCATTACTTTCAAAAAAAAATAATTCTATGTTCTCCGTATTTTATTATTAATCAGGGAATATTCGGTGGAATTCCATTTAAAATATATTTAACGAAATTGTGGAAATGTTTGGAAATTATGGCTATTGTTATATTTATACTTGGTACAGCATTGCAACTTTTAGTATTGACTGAAGAAGCTGAAAGATTATCATTTACACCAGTGAATCCAGCTAGTGCTATTCAAGAAGCTTTATTACAATTGGCAAGAATATTTTACGGACTTTCATTGTGTATATTCTATCATCGTATTTTAGAATTATTTACAGTTAATATACGTTTAGGACCAATGGTTATTATGGTACAATCTATGGTGAGTATCTTTTATCAATGTTCAAACTATTTAAAATGAAACGTTTATTCATTTGATAGTTATTTTCACTTCAGTATGACAATTAAGAACCATTCATTCTGATGATGACATTCTATAGATTTTTAAATAACCTAACATCTCTTGGTGATGAATTTTTCAATAAAAAGTCATTGACTTACCTAAAATTGCCTTTGTATTGATTGCACAGTAAAGTGTTACAACTTCTGATGCTAGTTAATTAAGTACAACCTTTTTCAAAGTGTATATCAAATCTCCAAGTTTGTTCAGATCAGATAGATTATTTGTGATTTCTTTCATGACTCCCGATGTTCAAGACTAAGTGGAATAATCCTAATTTTCAAACAATCAAATTGGAATTTCTTTGTTTTATCTTGCAGATTGTTCGTGATTTAATTCCATATTTGGCTTTGTTCACTGTTGTCTTAACTGGATTTGCAATATTACAATGGGTTACCGCATATCAATCAACGGCTAGTTTAAATCCAGTGACAAATTTATTCACTGTGTTCAAAGCTTTACAACTGGCCTATTTTCAAGTGTTCGGTGAATATGGAATGGATACTTTAACCGGTGAAGGTAAATATAACAACAAAAAAACACTATTACAATTGAATATAAAAATTGCTCTATTTCCTAAATAATTTCATTAAAAATAGTTTGTGATATTTGTTTCTCACGGAATTCAGACGTGATTTCTTCATTTGTAGTTAGCTTCGGTACACTTTAATATGCTATTAAAATATTCATTGCATTTAGTATCTCAAATAACTGCTTTAGCTGTAAACAGATCGTAAATCTTAACTGAAGAAATGTACTGTCTCAAAGTTCGAACAGCTCAAAGAGATTTGCATATAGGATAAAGTCATTAAGAATTTATGTACATGCTCATAATATTTGATTAATGACTTTAAATATTCATATGAATACATTCAGAGATCAACTTGTGACTGCCTAAACTGTTTTATAGCATTTTCACATGGGTAGATTTTCCTGGAAAAAAAAGACCGATAAATAGAAATGGTTCATTCAACTTGTTTCTTGATTTAGTATGATAATTTCTAGATTTATCAGTTTTGTTTTGAATAGCATCAACACTTTCTTCAAAGAATTTCTTAATAATATCCTACTTAACAAAAATAAATTTTTGAAAGACTTTTCCAAAAACTGATAATGGTATTCAAAGACAATTCTTTATGTTAATGTACAAATCAACTTTGTCTAGATAACTTCATTATATTTTTCTTATTCTACTGTATTTCTTTTGATTAGTTTTATTGGATTCTTGTAAAAATGATAAAATTAATTGTCCTGGAGGCTGGTCTACTTGGCTATCACCGATACTTCTTGGAGTATATGTAATACTTACTCAAGTTTTACTTCTCAATCTTGTTATTGCTATGTTTGCGTAAGTTATGTACTTCATTTTTAAATCTTAAATATCCGCTGATATGTATTGTAAAATATATTTGGAATCATTTGATATCAATAAAGAAAATAACTGCTTGATTGTCACAAACTAAAGAAAGCTGTGAATTACTATCAATCTATATTGATTTCAGAAAGTATTCCTTAGGAAGTCACAGCTGCTATCATATTAAACTAGCTTTGTGCCATATGCCGAATCCAAAGAAGTGTAATCTCTGTGTCAACTCAACAAGTGGTTAGTGTAATTTTAACTGTGAACACAGTAAATTCTGACTTTGATTCAGTGCAAAACTGTGAACGACAATGATCAAAAGTCTTAAAAAAATCAGTCACTCTACTTCGATTATTATTATTATTATTGATTTTTATATGACATTTTTTTCTAAAACAATAAACTTTTTCTCCATCCACCGACAAGCTGTCAGTAATATTAGCAAATTCATGGTGAAAAAACGAGCTTCATTTTACATAACATCTATTCAAAGGCATTCAAATTAGATATGACTTTGTTAGTATAATAAACGAGAATATACAATAATCTTCCGACGACTTACATGTACTTCGTCATATTTAAAATAGAATGGAAACAGAATAATTTCAAACTGACCAAAGTGAATCAACTGCTGTAATAATTATTAGAGATGTTATCAGTCAGTTATATTAGTATTTATATTTTAAAAGAATGAATATCAGTCGAATGAAAAAAAACTTACCTTATTTGAATGAAATAGTCTAGAACGTAGCATGAGCAATAAAACAAAGCAAGTTCATATAGTCTTTGGTTGTAAAAAAACATTTTAAAAATAACAAGCAAGGGATAAGCTTCGTGAGGGATGAAAATTCCTGAATAAAAATATTCACTGCCTTATAGACTCAATGTTGAATCATAGCAAGTTAGTTTGACAGAAAATAAATGAATGAAATTCATTAGCATTCTCTTACATCTGAACTTCTATAAACTGGCTGTTCAAGAAAGGTCTAAAATAACCTTGTCAAGGTAAATATTTTACTGAAAAAATGTTAACTACTTGCTAATGACTGAAATTAGAATAGGCTTTCAACTGTTCATGATGAAAAAAACTGGTTCTTTTTAAATCCCTCTTTTTTATGTCAATAAGATGATTATGGAGTAGTGTTAGACAAAGGAAGAAAATTATTTATTGATACAAAAGTATGTTTTGTTATGACAATGAACTAACTCTCTGATGCATAAACCATCAATCTCAGATAAACGAAGAGTAACACTTGTTGAGGGTTTATTCTTTCTGCTTTCTGATTCAACTATAAAACATAAGTCTCCAAATTATTTCATATACGCTTACGATTTATTGACAAGGGCTAAGTTTGTGTACGTTGTTAGCTATTAAGGTTGCTGTATTCTTTTGATCACATATAATTCAGAAACTGTCAACATAAGTAGAAGGAAAGGATAGTACTCTCCATTTTCAAAGCAATCCAAGTGGGAATTAAGCACATAAATAATCTAATATAAGTGCAAAATAGTATTAATACTGAAGCAAACATATCAAACCAAAGTAATCCTTAATGATTGAGATGATAGGTTGATAGTTATGCTGCCATAGCTGTGACAATATACCAAAGACTACAAATGACGATGGATTATATGATCGCTCATTTGATTTCTATTCAACCATAGAATTTTCAAGTCAATGCCTCATAGTTTTAAGCTGTTTCTACTACATCCTAATAATACTGTTCAAGAATTCCATGTTTTCTTTCTTCTCTAACATTATCAAGCAATATATTATGACATATAATTTGAAACATGTTAAACAGATGGTTGTAGATTAACCTAAAGTAAAGCTACCTGACTGAAGTGGTTGATTTACACTAGTAGCCGTGCATGTGTTGATTCGGATGTGTAATTCTAGTCAAGTCATTACTCAAATACTGATAAGTTTTCTAACGAATGTTTCAACTGATAATTTATAATCTGTTTTCCAATATTTTATCAGCTCTACTTATATGAGAATTGAATCAGCATCAACGAAATATTGGGCGTTACAAAGATATCATATAGTGGGAGAATATGTGGATCGTTCACCGATTCCACCACCTCTGAACTTGATATGGTATATCTACTTAATAATACGTTATATTATAAGAGGTTGCAAGAAAAATCCATTGAAAATTAACAATCCTTTTAGTAAGTGATATACTTTGAGAATAAATCAAGTTATAATATTGTATTCATTACAAGTACAAAAGCGTTTTAATCTCATAATTAATCTCATATTTAATCTCATAATCAACATTTTATCTACAAGATTTTGAAGGCATTTTTTTACAGTTTGGCAAATTATTTTAGAATCATGAATACTACTTAAATAATTTAAATCAGAAAAAAATGAACCATGCGTAGTTATGACTGACGAAGTTAGATATCACTACTATACTATTTACACTGAATTCCTTATTTTCTAAGATATATCTCATCGGATTCTGAATCCATAGTTCTAAAACTAGCATATTTTTCATGCGCTCCAAATAACCGTCTCAACCTAGAATGAAACAGTTATTCAACAGACTGTGGATTTATTTGGTTCGTAAGCTTTTGACAATTTATGGTAGGTTCAAAAATTAACAGTCTACATAAATCTTAACAAAACATCTAATGTCTAGATATAAACGTAGTTTGTTGTTTATGGCACTGAACGTCGCCATGAAAATAGCGAGAACAGTTGCTTTCGGCTTCTCGAAACGCATCGTTTATAGGCTCTGAGTTTCTACGCGATTTTTAGAACTTGTTGACGCAAGTCAGTTTACCCCGGGTAACCGCGAGTTTGACAATAAAAGAAAACTGGTACGTAATTAAATAGTACAAAGCTTACGTAAGGACTAATAGACCTGGAAGTCCGAAGTAGTAGCTGCACCTGGTAAATATAGGAAGCTTTTCCAACTCATCCGATCCACTGGTAAGAAAAGTTCTGATTGTGAAGCTGACTGGTCACCAATCAATAACATCCACCAACGTCATAGACAGTGTAAAATGGTATTTTTATTTATTGCGCAGAACCTTAAAATTAACCATTTTTACATAACAAAATTAATCACCGTAATTCAAATATACATAGAGCTAACTAATTTCAATCAAATGAAATAAGCTTTCAATAAAAGTGTAATCTTCATTAATGTTTCCAGCAAAAAAATTGGCAACTGTATTTTATTCCTCTAAAATTCAAGGTAATATTTAATCAACACATTTTTGAAACCATGAATCGATCAATGTTAGACCACCATTAGAAACCAGGAAGCACTGGACGGTCGTTTCGTCCTGGTATGGGACTCATCAGCAGTGCGCATCCACGACTCCTGCACCCTACAAGATTCGAACCCAGGACCTTAACAATCTTCACAACTCCCTAATGCAAATTACCTGTGCTAACTAGTGACCAGCTTTGTGAGGAATCTCCGAGTTCTAGTGGGAAGTCGTGACCAGTTAATTTCAACCTGTTCGGGTGTAGACAGTAACTACCGAAGACTATGTATGAGGCTGCGCAACTCCGTGAATTGATCAAGTTAGAAATTTACACCGTTAGATACCGGGCCAGTGGTCCAGAGGTTGGGCATTCGCGTACCGTACCGAAGATCCTGCGTTCGAATCCTGTGCAGGAGTCGTGGACGCGCACTGCTGATGAGTCCCATACCAGAACGAAACGACTGTCCAGTGCTTCCTGGTTTCTAATGGTGGTCTAACATTGGTCGATTCATGGCTTCAAAAATGTGTAACCTAACGATCTTCACAACCCCGTAATGCAAGTATTTAATCTGAAGAAAATTAAATGTTCTATCTAGGTGACTATTTTTATTTTATAGATTTATGCTGTTTGTTTCTTTTAATCAATATTAACTAAAATGACACTAAAGTTACATATTAAAAAAAGAATATTTATTAACTTATCAATAATCAATTTTAGAAAAATCCTATGAACCTGGATCAGCTCAAGAAGTACGTCTTACACATTGGGAAAGATTACGTTTCTGGGATTATGATCGATATATTATTCAAGGTAAAAAACGGAAACAAAAAGGCGGTGGAAAAATGGTCAGTGTCCGAACTACAGTAATGCAAATGAACAGAGGTGCGGAAATGTCATCAGAAATAGCTACAGCTATCACAACATATTACAATACAACACACGATTTTCTAACAAGAGTTGAGTCAAAAACTGAAAGACTTAAAACTGTTGAAGATAAAGTTGACAAAGTAATAAATTTAATCAAAGAATTAAACTTACAGGTACGTTATGATACTGATTATTATCATTAGTGTTCAAATAGAATATCGATTATTTACTAATCAACTAAAGTAATTTTGTTTAAAAAATGCTACTAAACATATTATTATCTTGTAAAGAGCTGGATTATCAAAGACTATGTAATTTTTTTCAATCCTGCAGTTCTTGCTTATAATTTAAATTATCGTCAGTAGAGTAAATTTATACCACTTATATCGACCAGAATTGTTAAAATGTGTCCTTACTGAAATATTGATTTATATGACTTACTATTTTTAAAAATATAAAATAATTTGAGATAAAAAAAGACAATTTCTCTTAATTGATGGCTGCATACTACTAATGTTGTTTCAGTTTTCTCCACAAATTAAAACTGATTGGTGTTAAACACTGTAAAATTTGAGTGTTGAAACTAAGGTGATAATGTTACATAAAAATATGTATGTAAACTGATCCCTGTTCTCATCAAAATGATATTGAGCCTATAAACGTCAGATGAAAATTGGTTGGGCTTTATGTGTTACAGTATTCAGAGTTATAAGGTTTTAATATATTTTGATAAAAGGACACATATATATGTATACATATATATACCACGATTTATGAACTTCAATCCCTCCAAGTTATATTAAACTGATGAATATTGTCTAGTGTTTTGCAAAGATGACGATTTTAAAATGTAGATGTTTATTCCGACAGAAGGACATATTTCTAGCGAATAATAATTAAAATCAATGGATAATTTTATCTAAACTGGGGTTAACTGTGTAAGGATTATTATCAACGTTGTTATACTATCCGCTATTTGTTTATCAGACATATACAACACAAATGAAACTGATGAAATCGATCATTGATAAATCTAGAATTGCGTTTTCTAAATAACTTTACAAAAACAAAAATACATTTCAAATTTTCAATGTATTTTTTCCGAATGAAAGTTTTAATTAGATCTAGACAAAATACAGTTTATATTATAAAACAAATATTCACGTGTACACCTATTTTGTAAATAGTAAACAGTGTCCTAGATACTGGTAATTTAAGTTGACGATTGATAAGAATTAAAATTATTTAAATAATTACTACAGTAAATAAGTTAACTAACTAAATGATTAAACTAAGACGTATGGAACAGTCCAAACATAATAACGGAATAGATAGTCACAACTATTTGTCGAACATAATATGTCATTATCTAGTTTTTATACTTATTTGGATTTCCCAGTTCTTTTCATTATCCGATGGAGTTCTACAGTCAATATATATATATATATATATATATATATATATATATATATATATTAGCTTACCTACCTAGTGAACAACGAACAATCCTTGTTGTTTAATTTTTGGTTTAAACTAAACTAGCCTGAAAGCAAAGCGTTAGGCATTTTCATCAAAAAATGCTTCGGTATGGAGTTTTGCATGTTTTGTTTAGTATTTGGTTGATTGAGATCAGTGGTAGTCCTTAAAATGTCACCCGTCACTTTGCTTTTTCAGAATTTTCTGATTTTATGACACTGAATTAAACATTGATAACTAGCTGCAATTTATATTCGCTTTTCCGATCCAGTTCGACCTTTCAGCTTTTCATTTACGATTGAATTGTATCATGTCAATCGACTGATTGCTAACGTTACCTCTCGAAAATTATGTAGTTGTAGGCATCATTGTTATCATAATAGTAGAGTATTATTACTGACAAAAAGCTGATAACCATTAATCATTCAAACTTTGTCATCTTTGATTCTGATAAATCTAAATTCCTTTTGTTTTTTCTACATTATTTTCAAACACTATATTCGGTGTGGCCTCTTCAGAAATCACAACCGACGGAAACACAACCTAAACAACAAGCAGGTAAGCTATTTTATTTTATCACCTCGTGAATCTGTACTCAATCATTAAACAGGCATTCATGTTTGTGGTATTAAAAAAAAACACCCGACTACTTATTGATTGTTTGTATAGAAATAATAAAAATGTTTATCAATAGTTTGGCCAAAAATATGACAAATTTGATACCTTTCAGAACATTCGAAGACACTTTCATCAAAAATTTGACCAATCGGTATTAAAGAAAAAAATATTCTGCACTTGCATAAGATGACTCCAATAACCATTGATCCAGGGATATCCTGTGCTATCTATTAACTTTCAGCGACTGAGAATTTCAATTCAATCCTATGTTAAAACTATACCACTTATCTTCAACTTTATTTCGTGACAAGGTGCTGGAATGCGACAATACATCCATCTACCTTTTTATTCAGTTATTTGAAAAGTAGATTTGTTTCATTTGATCCAGATTTAAAAAGTAACACCCAGATAACTTTCATGTAGTCATCATATTTTCTGTTAAACAGTTAACTGTTGTAGAATTCTTTTGACCATAAAGCAAAGTCTGTATGATCATCAGTATCATTAGCTACAAAACACTACTTTATTGATGTGGAAAACATTTTTACTAAGAACTAATGGCTTACATTAAATTAGTGTCTTAAACAAACTAAAGTGTTTCATGTTACATTAATGAGGCCTTCTAATTACCAATTAGTAGCTTTAAAAAACATACTTTTATCTATCTACCATTAATGCCGATCATGTAATTCAGCACGAAATCTTTCTGAACAGCAGCGCATCAATCAAAAAAATCAAAAATGCATCAGACTATTTAAACTCATTAGAAATTTATCACTTAGATTTGTAGTGTCATCTAGGCAGTATTAACTCTTCAACCTTAAATCTCTACCATAGAGTAATTAAGTTTTTTGAAGGAAACTGTTGAATATCAAGATTCTGATTTTATCAATTCCGTTTTTAATAAAATAGTCTATTTATGATTACTTACGAATAAATAATAGTGTATTTGTAACTCTCTCTCTCTCACACACTTTTCATCTTTCTTCTCATTTTCCTTATTTATTATTAGGTATGGATTCATCTCTTGATTCACGACTTGAAAGAATTCTTGTAGGTAAGTGGAAAAAAAGCACTTGCTTGTTTTTACTTTCGAGTTTTCCTCTCTACTTAAGTGAAATTGTATTTAACTCAAAAGAAGACAAAGAATGTTAAATCAGCGATATTATCTATTCGTATTGCTTTTCAAATATTATCTCAGTAAATGAATAAATAAACATCGCCATAGCAATCGATAATTATACTTGTGTTAAGCGAAAGTGAACAATAACAAAAACGGTCGATGATTATTGGATGAACTCATTTAAGGTCAAAACCAATATTGCCGCACGTTAATAACCTTTCGGTAAAGGAAGTAGTTCAGGATGTTGGAATATATTTGTATAGTTTCTTCTAGTGGAGTCAACGGAAATAGTGATGAAATATCAAATGAAACTACGAGTTAATCAAAGATTCTTACATGTCCTAGCATTAGAGTAAATTGAAAGGTGCTTTTCTACCTATGAACAAACATTTTAGAGCGAATATTTTACTTACTACCGGACCAGTTTGCGAGATGAAAAAGTGATGAGAAATCAAAGCAATTTCTACTGGTGTGCACTAGAGACGTCCACTTTCAATGCCACAATCTCTCAAACTCTGAAGTTAATGGAGTGGTCAAGAGCAGTCCGCTCAGCCCAATCCTATCAGGCATCTTTGCGGCAAACTTAGAACAAGTAGTTATGAAATCAACAATTATCAACACAACGTTTTATGTCAAATAACTGGTTGATAAATTTGTTGCATACAATTATTCGCAACATTAAGACTTTTCAATAGAGGACATCCTAACATTAGATTTACGATGGAATGTGAACATCGCACGTTTCTAAATCTTGGTATTATTCACAATTCATTTGGCTGATTGGAAAGATATTTTATCGAACGAACATGTTGAGCTGGCCACACTTAGATTTGCATATCTGTCTAACAAACTACATAAGACCTTTGGCTAGAACTTTATTTGACCATTTGAGAACATTATGTTTTGGGCGTAGAATTGATGGGGAATTAGTCATTGTTGAACTTTGCTTACGTAAGAAAGGTTATCCTCAACAAATCATAAGTAAATATGTAACGACTTTAAAAACCGAAATGAAATGTTCTATGATTTAGAAGTCAGTCTTCTTAAAACTCCATTTTAATGACGATGAAATATCTGGGAGGACAGATTTCACACCAAAGGTAGTGGTAAAAAGGATGTGTCCAGCGACCAAGGTAGTTATCTTTAAACCAAACCAAATACTCATTGCGAAAACCAAACATGGAAAAATACCTGTTTTATATCATTTCTAATTATGCTTACCAGTTTAAATGTACCTTTGAGAGCAAATACTTCGGAAGAACAGAAAGAAGTATTTGTGTTCACATCTCTGAACATATTCCATAAAAGTTGAGACTTAATGGATCAGAGGTTTTCAGCGGCTCAATCGCTCGTCGTCTGATCGACAAAAGGTATGATAAAGAAGTGTCGAAATTTTTTTAAAACAATCAATTCAAAAAAACAAATTCAAAATTATTAAGCTTTGCCAAAGCTGTTTTAATAAAAACAATTCTGCATGCCAATCTAACCTCTTGCGCACGCTTAAGGATTTTCACAGAGAATTCACGTGATTCTCCTATTGTTGATCTCTTTTATAAATCTGACTAAAAAGGTCAATGGGGACTATATTATAAATTCAATTCCCAACTGAAACAGGTGTTTTTTTTTTACTTCAGCATGTTTCTTTCTTTGTTTCTTGTATAGCTACAGAAAAACCAAGTAAAACCTATTCCAGGTCAAGATCTACTGATCAAACAAAAGTAAGATTGATTGAAACAACAAAAAGCAGTCAGGTGGCTGTTTTCGAAAAACGATCACACAAATATGCAGCATTCGTACCCCCAACAGCTGATCGCACACCTCGTCTATTCCCGTATCCAATACCATGGGATGTAAGTCATTATATTCCAACAAAAGTTTGTTGCTAAAAATTTAATGACCACATCTCGATTCAAATGTTTTCTAATAATAAATTTTATGTCATTATGTAGGTAAATAGTTTTGGAAAGTTTGTTGTAGAAATGAAGGATTTTAAAAACTTATTCTACTGATAATAATTACAGTTTAGTCATCTAATAAGTTATCTTACTTCGTTATTGAATACTTAACTACCTGATCAGATAATTTAAATAAATTTGTATTAAGAGGAGAATATGAATGTGCTATGTTCATTATGTACAAATATCAATGACACAAAGTAAAACAACCAATCAATCATCCATGTACCTGCTTCTCAGTCATATTGAATCAAGTGGAATAAACCAATAGACATGGCTATGAATTCTACAATAAACTCAGTTTTTTCATCAATCTTGATAAACAGTTTCTAAGATGTTATGAAATAATTTTCATCACTATTCACATACTCAGTTAAGGTAGTTAATTCACCAACTATCACTATGGTGTACCTGGCATTTGTAAGAAATTAACTAATGTTTATTGGACACAAAAGCGAATACCAACTGATAAGTGTTGATTGAGTAAGAGCGTTTGCAAAGAATCATTCACTTGAAATGATAATGTAAATAATCTGATTAATCACTCTGTAGTGACAATTTTAGAAAAATAAGATTTTCGAAAATTGGTACGTCTCTGTGAAGGATAAAATCACTGACTATATTTCAGATATGCCTTGTCTACGTCAGACAATGAGCATAAAAACCTTTGTTCAAGGCTTCTCACCATTTGATTTTAGTCATCAACTAGGTACCAAGGAATTAATTTTGTGTGCAAATGAAAGTAAGCGTAAAAAAGTATGTCTCAAATGAGCAATGACTGTTTGAACACGATAAAAATACATTTCATAATCGTAGTTTATTTGTGATTGTTTTAACTGACAGAAACGATATTTTTAACTTTTACTAAATGATTGACATTTTCGACAGTTCATTGCGGAATTTATCGATCTGAATACATTCAGGTTTCATACAATTACAGCAAAAATTATGGTATACCGATTACATTTGTCATTAATGTGTACTATAATTCTTTAATTGAATTTTAAGATTTTAAGGTATTGAGTGTTTTAAGTTTGAACTTAGTTCAAGCTTTGTTGACAATTTCGCACGTAGTGATGTAGTGCTACAAGACAGGTTATTAGATGTGTTAAAAATGAAAATGCTGAATCTGTATGATGTACCAATGCGACTAATTAAACATTGGTCTCATTATCTCATCCAAAAAGTTTTTATTAGAGATTTTTCAAATTGTCTCACGTTGCAGAATACTAATCAACTTATCCAAACCTACGAATGAAATGTAATGTGGGGTTACAACATCGTTGTGAACACTTTTGTAATGTCAGTAATAAGGTTAAGAAGACATTAAAGCTAGCACAACCATGACTGACTGCTCCTCATACCTAGTCTTCAATGAAAAAATTTTTTAAAAGCCCGGTTCGTAGTAAAAGTGAGATCTTTGTGCCAATGCTGAAACTATTATAAGACCATAGTAGTTTTCCATATTACCTCTTGAAAGCAAATTAAATCATTTAAGATTAGTATGAATGTCCAGAAGTAAGTGTTCCTTTCAAAAGAAGTCTTCAAAAGACCATACATAATTATGTATATTTGCTGTTAAATATATTCAACACAGCAACACAGAAACAAACATTATACTTCCAAAACATTTACATCCCTACCGTAGCTGCTACCTGAATTTGGTGCCGAGCTTGCATCTCCTAATGATCCAAACGAGCTACATTGGTCCAGTTTTAGCAGTTAGATTAAGTGAGATCCTAGGTAGAATCTACGAACTGGGCATAATCCCATGTGACAGGTCTCAATCACTGATTGTCCCAGTCCATAAGAAAGGACATAAGTCCTCTTGTGACAATCACAGACGGATCAGTTTAAATGTTAGCCTCGATAGTATTTAGACGCCTAACCAAAACTTGTGAAGAGCAAACTCGAGAAAATTACGCTGTGTTCAGATCTGAACGTGAATTTATAGATTGAATATTCACACCTCGGCAGGTCCTAGAACAAAGATATGCATTTCAGCGTCCGAAAACTGTTGTATTTCTTGCATGTAAGGCGGCGTTTGGCTCTGTTGATCGTAAAGTTCTGTGGCAGTGTGTGCCAAAGAAGAACGTCAATCTTGTACAGGTTCTCTACTCAAACACCACTAGTCAAGTTAGAGCTTATAAAAAACTGTCACTGGAATCGATTACTTCAAGTGTTGTTCGTTAGGTTCGTCTGCTTTCTTCATTCTAATTTGACTTTATCATTGGCATGCTTTTAGAGGTCACTTTCATCATCTGAATTTCATGAGTCGATCTTCCAGCAGGAGACTCACCTGTTGACTTAGAATATGCAAATGATATAGTTTCACTTGGTGAAGACGCTGACAAAATGCTGAGTCTTGAATATTATCTTCGATCGTTAATCTTTCTGATTACCGTCAATACTGCTATTACTTATACCGCAATAGACTTCAAACTGAAAATCTTATTTCTGTATGCTTATGTGATCTGTCAACCTGAATTGATGAACGTACGTACTGAGTTCTACGCTGTAGGTGACTGACGTTCGTAAAGGGTAACAACTGTGTAAATTCTGCTTTCTTCCTGTGTTGTTTATTCGTTTCTGATTAAGTTTTGTTATACGAACAATAGAGTGCATGTACATGATTTATTTTATTCCATTTCTTCATATGGTGATTTTTTTATTTGAACTCACAGCGCTTATATTGGGCGAAATTAGTAACTAATGTTGTCAAGTATGAAAATTCAGTAATAAGATAAACTTATTGACAACCAGTATCCAAAATAAGATAACATTATTATTGGAGATTTAAAATAATTTGCAAAGTCGACAAACTACAATTAAAAATTTTATGAATTGCTTATCTCCAGTTTGATTTGGTGGGTTACTTCTTCAATGAATACTAATTTGAGGTTTTATTATTTAAATTGATATATTGGCTAAAATTACTGATTATTTCAAACAATATTAGATAATTGTTTTTCATCACTTCAAAATAATTATCTGGCCCTGCTTCCGATCTCTTTTGTATTCGCTCTTCAAAATGACATATATAAATTTTTATTGATTCCAGAGACAGTCACGGAAACCTATGTGTTTAGGCTGGAAACCTCCAGTTTACTCAATTGAAGGATGGACTGAACCAAGGAATTTCTCTGAAATTTCAGAAGAAAGAAAACGTATGTTTCAAACACCGATTCCGAATGTTCCTCCACCTGATCCAATAACTGGATGTCCTAGAAATCCCGGTGGTCGTACTGGAGTTAATGGAAAAGGACATTTACCTCAATGGGGCGCAAATTCAGCCATTATAATAATCATAACACGACAACCAAACGATTCGAAGGACACACCTGAGAGCGCTTTTAAAGTTGTTGTGTATAAAAATCCACTAGGCTCTCAACTTCCATGGGTGAGTTACTTTGTTGTCAAGATTTATTTCTAATAATTTTTGAATACTCATTCATAGTTTCAGAAATGTACTTAAAGATTCTAGTACAGCTGAGCGCCTAACCTATAGTGATGTGATATAATAGGATGACATTATTTAGGTCAATATATTCTGTATTCATTCGTTATGAATTTTTGCCAATTGAATCAACGTAAAATTGGTTTAGTGTGACAGTTATACTGTCTGTATCAAGGAATCTGAACTATAGTGAGTGTTTTTTTACTGTCTTCGTGTACAATCCCTCCTCTTTGAGCTACAAATATTCCCTATTACCTCCTGACCTAGTAGTATATAAGCGACTTTGGTAGGAACCTAATCGCTTCCAACTGTACTTTCAAGTTTAGCACAACCACATGTTAAGTGATAACCGGAACAGTGTCTCCTGCTGTTCGTTAACTCAGTATACTGAGCGTCGTGTACATCTGACTTGAAATTAGGGTGATCCTACTCTCCTGGGTAGAACCCCCAAATCTACTGACCAGGTTTCAGCAGCTTACATCGTTTTTTTTTCTTATCGATTTTGCAACAACATCGTTGTCAGTCTAAGGTTAGTAGAACTTTACTGCAAAAAGCTATATCTGAGTTGCCTTATGAGACCGTTTGGAGTAGGAAAGAAGGGTCCATCAATCCTCAGCCAAACAGGGCCATTTTAATTAAGTGTTTGAAACATCATTAAGCTGACGCTGAAGCATCGTTTATGTGTATTTAAATCCTCAGAATTTAGTTCAGAGACACATTAAAGAGTACATGTCTCGATTGTAATCAATAACATCAAAGTTCATGGGTAGTACATAAAGCAACTACTCATACACAAATGTAAACCGAAAGATGACAAAGGTCATCAAAGAACTATACTGTCCTTGTTTTTTTTGGTGAATAAGTTATTTCATATTATCGTATTTTTCGAAATTACATAAGCACCAGATGAAGTCCGAAAAAAAGAACCATTTTATAAAGAGAATTTCAGGAGTTCTAAACAGTATGGTTATATATTCCGTTCTCAATTAGAAACAGGAAAACTCAAAGCAAAATTCACTCGGAAATATCAATTCGTCACCAGCTACATATACGGATTTTTATTTTCAACGTTAGCAGTTAATATACTTCTACAACTTATAACATGTTTTCGATTCACTGGGATTTGAACCTATAATGTACATACATAATTTTAGTTAAGGCTATTGCTGATGAGGTATTAAAGGCTAACTTAACTGAACAATCAAAATAATTATTAAGACCAACTCATCAAAAGATTGTAATAATTGTTATGGTATAACCCTCAACTTTGAAGAACACATATTTTCCTTTACGCTACAAAAACAGTATTCTTCATCAATCAATTATTTATGCGTTTATGAACACGAACAAATCAATTCTACCATGGAAAGTTCTAGATCCTTACTTTAATTATTCAGGACGATGACAAAACTATCAAGTGTCAACGCTGATTTGATCTAACATATAGGTCTCTCTACACAGACAGTTATATATTGTAAAAATCATAAAAACAAATAAAACCCATGAAGCTAATTTACACAATAATCGTAAAGCTGATACAAAGTATATCATACTTTAAAGTCATGTACTATATTATTCTACGTAATTTCAAAAGTAATCACAGTGAACGGTATGAATTAAGCGATGTATTTAAATACCTATCAAAGAGAAGTGTTATTAGAATACTCATCTGCTTGATAAACATCTTAAGGACTGATTCTATCCAAGTATACAGTTTTACTACCTGTAAATTAAGTATTTGTAAGCTCAGAGTTTACAGGAAGAATTGCTTTAGAAATCGGAATTACAATTAGCATAATACCTCAGAGTAACTTCGAACACAACGTAGCCAATGTAAGAGTGATCATTGTAAACTCACTAAGATGCTGAAAAATTTGATTTTTATATTAAAACAATCTTTGCATCTAATACCAGTTTGCTTGATTAGGCGAAACAGTCATCTACTGTTACCTATCATCGCTGCCTTTTCCATCGTTCTTGCTTTCGCAATCCACCACTGTTCGCGATCATTGCGTAGGCTTGTGCTTAAACTGACTTCCGTCTTTATCATGTTCAGAGCCAGTTGGGATGAGTTTACGAGCATTTCTCAGTTCGATAGATGCTACTCAAGTCCACTGCTTCTCCCTAACCTTGCGGTTTACCTTACTAACAGATATCTTTGATGTTTCCACAGCTCTTTGGATATCATTCCAAGCTGAGTCGAGATAAGAATCACCTACGCTGTCGCCTAACTGTTTTTCTAGCTGTTCCTTAAATATATCCCTAGCCATGCTATCATTAAGTAGAACCCTAAGAGGCTTCCTTGCGGTATCTTTCCTACATCCAGTAAGCCGCAAACAAATACGCACTCGCCCTAGAGCATGATATAAACCTAAACAAGGTTCCCAGAATGAGCGGTAGTCTTCACTTGAGCCTCTCCACAGATGGCTGATAGCAATGTGGGCTGGTTCGGGGTCATCGTTCAATCGGCTTTGGGGATCTCCAGGTCGAGATGTTTTTCCTTATGCTTAAAGTTATTGTTTGCTAGAAATGGGCGATTATCTGAGCATAGCTGTGACAGACGGTCTCCATTATCTGATATTTGAGCTACGAAACCGTAAGATCCACCCAGGTGTCTTTGATTTTCACTCAGTCTACCTACTTGAGCATTCAAGTCACCAGCCATTATTACTACATCAGAGCGCCTAACTTTTTGGAGGAGGTCCGAAAGGTTGCTGTAAAACTCATCTTTCACCTCGTCTGAACTGCAGTCAGTGGGGGCATAGGCAGATACGACGAAGAGGCAACGACGAGTGTCCCTATCCTTTCGAATCCTTACTGTCCCGTTTAGTCGGACGGCACACAAGCAACTATCGACAGGGATCCAGTCTGGGAGCGCTAGTTCTGCCCTACAACTCAATGCTATACCTACACCAGCGAGACCCCAGGAACAAGCATCAGGGCTACCGGATACACGGAGCATAAGCCGAGCTGTTTCTCTCTCTGGAAAAAGTGAAATCAATTTGATGACTTTACTCGGATCTTGTATGCGAGCTTCAAAGATACAACACGCATCGATGGCATGGGATTCCAAAGATCTAGCTAAGGAAGCCTGTTTTCCTATTTGACATAATGTTCAAGCATTATAAGCTCCAATGTGTAGTTTGAAGAGGGGTTTCGGGAAACCAGGAATAACATTTCAGGAACTGGAAAAGCTCGCATCAGCGCCGCACGGCAACAAATGAAATTGGAAAGGGCTAGTCGTGGAGATAAGAGAGATGTTAGAAGGTGTAGGAAAGATCTGATTGTGACCAATTTGGTCTCGTGTGTCGTTACGGGTATGGGCGCGGATGTCACTTCCCAGCTGCCCACACTGTGGAAGGGTGTCTCTTGAGGAACCTGAAAAGGAAGATATATTAGTGTTGGTCTTAGAGACCTGGGAGCATGACCGTAAAGTCCAACGGAGAACTGCCTGAGGTCAGTCACGCACGGCCTTTTTATGAAAGGATTTTTGAATATTAGCTCCGCTCTTGAAAGACCTTAGTGGGCACCCTTACCGACGGAGACGGAAATCCGTGAGGTAGGGTGAGGTCTGACATTTTTGGGGTTGACCATTCCTAACCCTTCCTTCCTTGTGAGAAGGCAGCATCGCTTCAGATGCTGGTTGTCCAAGGGAAACACCTTACTGCTGTCACACCCCTCTGCAGTCAGCGGTACGACTTCGCCCTCAGACCTTGAGTAGCTGCTTTTCGTGTGATCGATTTCCAATCAACCTGCCTTGCTTGGCAGAACCTACAGGAACATAAGTTCCAGCCAATATAGCTCGGTTGGGTCATCACGATACGCAAACCCGACCATCACGTCAAGTTAGCAGCTAAGGTCAGACCTTGGAAATAATAGAGCAAATTAATCGTATGTTATAGAATTTTTCTTCAAAACCAAACAGAAGACCATTCAGAATAATAGACTGACCAAAAATGCAAGTCTTTAATTAACTAACAAATTTTACTTCTAAAAATAAATAACAATTTCATTGACCCTTCCATTATTGCTGAAATTATCATTGTTCTCTCATCACATTTCAGTTTCTTGTACAACATCCAACTGACTGTAATCGGACAGCGTGTATAAACGAAATATTTGATATTGTTACGAAGAGTCGTATGAAGCGCTTAGCAAAATCAATGCCAATAAAGAAAACAATTTTAGGAGAAACTTTGAAAAAATTCATTAGCTTAACTACAAAAATTGTAAGTTACATATTTTTCTTAAAACTGCTATTTGTCACTCCAAACTTGATTTGATGAAGGCATAAATTATGAAAGGTTATAGGTGATTGACTATTTTGTAGAACAGTCAATCATGGGTAAAAACAAGAATAAGGGAAAACCATAATATCCATGGAAAAGAAATAAATGATTTAAAGAATCAAAAGTATACAATGATATAAAACTCAACAGTCGGAGGAAACAGAGAGTTAGTGAAGTTTCACCACTGTGTTCGACTTTGGTCAATGTTACATTACATTCACAACCATAAATTACGACTGTTTCTCACTGATAAACAAACAGATATTCATAAAAATACATTTACAATTTCGAGAACGTAATGAGAAGAAAGAAATGATCGCAAAAAAAAACTTTAAATATTTGCGCTATACATATTTAGAACAGTTTAGTTATATATAAATTGAAGGTCAGTTAAGTAAAAGATTAAATAAATGCATAATGATAATTTGAAAACAAAATACACAAAAAGTAAAATCATATGAAGAGAATAAGGAGTTGTTACATCAGCTTAAACAGATCTAAGAAAAGGAAAAATTTTTATAGAACAATGAGATGGAGTTTATCTGAAAAATATGACTTATCTGGAATTATCTGGTCACACGTATTCTCGCCACGGTATTTTATATGAAAATTAATTAAGGTCCGTTATGTAAGTCCCTTGGGTAGTGTGACAAGCATAAGTTTATTTAGCATATGGATTTGAGATTTTTAAGTACCAAGGCTTCCGTACCCGATAGTTTCTATGCAAAGCTTTTAAAGGTGTTTTAAGGTTCAGTCCCATAGAAGGTTTTGACTATATATTTCGCTTTTGAAGAGAATAGATTTCTAATCCTTGTGCTTAACGGAGAGTTCGATTATAACCGACTATTTAGCCAAGTTTTATAAACCCTAGTTTCATAGTCCACACACCCATTATTCCCAAAAGAGTGTTTGACGTAAAGACGGGAATCGAGAGATGTGATTTGTAGATAGTTTCAAGCATTTTAAAACCAACGTCAGCAAAACTACTCAGTAGCGCTTTAACGTGATCGCGACTTTACATTGATAGCTCGTTTACAAATAAAAAGATGAGATGCATCTGCCCTAATTTTTATTACTGCACTTATAGATGTCATTACACTAGACATGTTTACATGTTCAGCTAGAAAAATGAAATCGTAAATTTCGTCATTTTAATAATCACACAAAATTAATTTCATAATCTGTTAATCGTGTCAGTTTCTAGACCCACAAAATTTACTAATATATCTTATCTTACTACCATTATATATTATGACTTTGTGATATCTTTATCTGATTCAGCCAGTTCACTTTTTATTTAGATTTTTACTGGATATTTGGATGATGCAATCAATACAGATAACGCCTGGATCGAACCAACTGTAGTCCATAAACATATTTCTGATCCTGATTTCGATTATGATGGACTTCTCCAGGTAAATCCAATGCCTTTCAAATCATATTTTCATGTTTGTGTGCAAAAATATTTTTGGTTGTACGAGGTTGAGCCTTATCTGAAGAAAGGCCTGGATTAGTGCTTTGTCACCCATCAGTGATAACTAATGTTTCACGTAAGATAAAAAATCAATGTTGCGTAATATTATGATCAGAGATCTCACTACTGAACTGTTAAGATTGTGACACATCACCTATGGAACCAAGTTGTTCATAGCACTTAATTCTTAATCAGTTTACCTTAATCCTCCTCACTTTGTTACATCGCGTAGAAATGTAAACTAGGGCATAGAGACTAATGGTTTAAAAATGTTATATATAAGTTAGTTGAACAAAGGATAACTTATTATCTGCTGGTAAATTAAATATCTGTTATATCCAGATAAATATTTGAATGTAAGTTCCTCCAATGTATTTAAGTATGAAAAGTCAGTCTGGACTTCATTCCTGATGTCAGCTAAGATCGAATCACTAATTACTACAGTCTAAATTTGCTCCACATACCATCTTTAATTCAAAATATTGATAGTCGTTTCGAATTAAGCCTTGGGAACTAGATGAAAGTATGATTGAAGAGTATTCACGTAAATCTAATTTAGACACTTAAAAAAGGACAACTCGATGAGAAAACTTTGCATTAGTTGATAACATACTCATGCTTATGATAGCTCTTAATGATTGCTGGTCGTGACGTCAAATATCTAGGGGACTTAAATTCATCAATACCCTTGATACATTAGACTACATAATATAACTTTGTGAAATAAAGGCGTGAATTAGATTATTACTGACCTCACCTTGCAGGAAGACTATCAGGATGGCTGATAATGCCTAGCTGCAAAGGTGATTCCTTTTTCCAAATACCAATGAGAAAAGACGAAATCGCTATATTTACACCAATTTCTAAACCCGAATATGTTCATGCCTAAGTATATGAACAACAAAATCACCGCGCGCCATAATAGAGAAAATACAACCTGTGTCGAAATAATTCATTTAGAGTAAAAATTGGAACACAATGCTCGAATCAGATGACAATAAATACAGCATAGAAAAAATGAAAAAACCAAGAGAAAGCTTGGGATCGGAAAACAGAGAAAAACAAACACTTGTAACTATGTCGAAAGTTAGGCCTAGTGATGTTCCTAAAATGCGACTACATAGTTTGTCATTCATTATTCGTCGCAATATAAAAAGTCACACACTTTTCGCGAACCGATCGGTAACGAGAAAACAGAATAATCATAAGAAAAACTCAGTACAAGGCTTCGCTATTGCAGACCGCTTCAGTAAAATTATCTCAGTGTTATATGTGTGCTATTATGCAACGTAAATGAGTACCATTTTTCTTCACTGACCGACAAATAAATTTCGTAAGAAGTGTGTTAGTTTGTCAGTGAAGACAAAATACTCTCAATCAGTAGGTATGTTTGAATCTCAATCCAACTACTTCAGTTTGAGCAGCCAGGTACAATTACTATCTTCCACTCATTGTGGCTCATAGCTTGTACCCAGTGGGCTAGACAATTTTGAAGAACCACATTGAGATTTCGTAAAGAAATTCTGTTGATTTGTGGAAATTAACAAAAAGCGATAAAAAACCAGTAAGGTATTTTATCCTTATCTATAAACAAGCTGGAAATTAGTTTAAAAAATTTTATATTTGCATACATTTCTAGCTACTTACTCCAGAAGGAGTCAATGCAGTATGGTTAGATTCAACAGATACAGTAGGCATGAGATCGAGTCATGAGAGAATTCTTCGCAAAATTGGAAAACGAATAAAATCTTCCAGTTTAGAAATGTCAAAAACCAAAAAGGAAGTCACTTTCCACGAGTAATTTAAACAGAGACAAACGAAACATCATCCGAACTTCATAACTGGTTAGTATCTAGATTTTCACATAATTAACTGTAATTCTGTTGTATTTTTAAAAACAGATTTGAACATGTATATTATTCTACCATTTTGATAAGCAATAGCAATATTTCATTATTGAATTCCAAGGGAAAAAGATTCTCACATTTGTACAGTAAGATTTCTGAGTAAAGCTATTAGAAATTCATGCAGTTAATGTACAACTTTTGGTGATTCCCTTTTTCAATTCGAGTAGATTCATCATGATGATCATCTACGACCAAACATCTTTGATATATCCCTCTTTGGTTCCCTACTTTACGTTCTATCTAGCTAGTATTGTAAAAGTTTATAAAAAGATAAACTTTGACTACTCAGATATGTACTTCTTATTACCATTATTCGATGTTGTCTTTTCTTCTTTCTAATTTTTTTTGCAATATGAATATTGATAATGTAAACACTACCTTTTGTGAGCTGAGTTTGTTGTCTGCATGATCTCCCGAACGACCTAGACAATTTGACGCCTAGAACCAATGGATTTTTTTTGAACAAAATAATTTATACATCAATGACAACTAATAAAAACACAAACAGTGAGTGTGGTAAGCGAAGTTAATGTTGTTAGTCATATACTAAACGTATGAACCAAAATTTCTGCCTTAAGAAGTTCATCGAAAGTTGCTTGACTGCGACAGACTGCCATTAAGGTTTGATCAAAACACTATCAATTTCTTGAAGATAATGAAAAGAAAAGTGAGATTAGGTAGGAATGTGAATCTAAGGCTGCTTTATATTCAACACCTGTTTTACTGTCATTCACTGTGAGCAGCGTCCAAACGCTGACAGACTTTTCATAGTAAGGACCACTAACATGCTTGGATCCACTCAAAAAACGATAGTTGAATAACCTTTCTTGATATTTAGGTTTTCTACACAAACTCCCGGATATTTCCGTTTCTACTGATACCACCTTGTAAAGGTGAGAGGTGGATTTAAGAGTATAAACAATTCTTTTCCATTGCTAACCGATATTAGCTTTCCAGCGTCGGAGTATTATTCGGACCCACGTTTAAATTCGTGAGTGACAATTTCACCAACAAATTCAGTCGGTCAGCTACAGCGTAGAACTTAGTATGTACGTTCATCAATTCAGGTTGACAGACCACATAAGCATACAGAAATAAGATTTTCAGTTTGAAGTCCATTGCGGTATAAGTAGTAGCAGTATTGACGGTAATCAGAAAGATTAGGGATCGAAGATAATATTCAAGAAGTATAATTCAGTGCAATAAATTTAAAAGAAAAATGGTCATGTGGAATTCAGAAGATTAGAATTTGAGAGAACACAAAGAGTGGATGCACCTACGTTATCGTAAACGATTTTGAGCTGTGTCACTCAAGGTATCTGACCGTTAGTTACTATGGTCTCGCGGACACCAACCTGGTAGTCTACACTCACTAACAAACCTCAATCCAGTTTTCAGTAAGTGCATGATTTTATGCTGTTTTTGGTTTGACCACTTCTAGCTTTCTTCCAACCTACTCCTACACCACAAAACATAGCTCGTCGAGGCAGTCAGTGGTTAGGCATTCGTAACACATGCCCCAACCACCTCAACTGATGAAGTTTCAATACTTCATCTATTGATCTGCCATTCTTACCTAGCACCCGTCTGCTAACGACAGCACTGCTTATACGGTTGTCCCACGATATACGAGCAATGCTTCTTAAACATCTATGATCGAATACTAGTAACCTACGAACATCTACTCTTAACGGCCATGTTTTGCATCCATATAGGAGAACGGAGCGAATTGCAGCGCAGTACACCTGTCCTTTGGTCAGCGAACGGATATCTCGCCTACGTAGGTTGGCAAAAGCCAATCGAGCTAGCAGATAAGTGAAGCGATCAACACGCTCGACTACTCCACTCCCTATCACTAGTTCAGGTGCTTATGCAACCCAGTCTTGAAGCAACATTTTGCACTTCGAGGGGGAAAACCACATCCCGAACATGCTCGCATTGTTGCTTATGGTAGTCAGAAGACTCTGCATTTTGTCAGCGTCTTCACCGAATGGAACTATGTCATCGGCATACTCTAGATCATTAAGCGATTTTCCTGGCAGAAGGTCAACTCCTAAAAAATCTGACGAGCTTAATGTTAACTCTAAGAGGATGTCTACGAAGAAGTTAAACAAGAATGGAGAGTGGACAGTCCTGACGGACACCACTTGAAGTAGAGAATTCCGGTCACAGTTCGCCATAAGCTCTCACCCGACCAGTAGTGTTCGAGTAGAGTGCTTGTATAAGGTTAATGTACTTACTTGGTACACTTTTCAATGACAAACACTGCCACAGAACCTCACGATCCACTGAGTCGAACGCCGCTTTTAGGTCCAGGAACACGACTATTGTCGGACGTCTAAATGTGTGTCTGTGTTCCAGGACCTGTCGTAGTGTGAAGATGTGGTCTATACAACCACGTCTGCTCTTCACGAGCTCTAGTTAGACGTCTGAAAAGACAAGACTCGCATGTAAATGACTAAAATATCACCTGATAATCCTTACACGAGTATCTTTAACCAGTGGCTAAAATAACAGACAGAAAGAGCAGACAACCTGTGTTAACCACTTTAGGAACAATTATTAATTATGTTAGATATATGTGAGCTATTCGGAAAATGATTAAAATTTATGTCTTATGCCGCTTGTTTTTATTATTATTGGGCTAATTTTGTTTTGCTTAAATACTTGTGGAACTAGATTATATATGAGAAGCTAAAAGCACGTCTTGAAATGGATACGAACATTAAAAATATCAGAAAATGGACACATTTCTTCTACAGCATTAACCATTCATACGTAGTCTTTTGAAATCAAAGTCACAGTGGCAGTCCACATAAAACTTCTGTGATATTTTGTTTTATTTGGTAAAAATAAGCTTTGTGCAGAAACGAGTCAAGAAAATGTTTCAGAACATGAAAGAGAAAACTCTTCCTGTACCCCTTTGGGGTTACTGCCGGCCCTAAGCCCGAATAAAGGAGGGCTGGAGACCCCACCCCGCAGAAAACCAACTCGCTACAAACACGCAATCGCGCAGGTGCATCCACTCTTTGTGTTATCTCAAATTCTAATCTTCTGAAATCCTCATCACCTTTCTCTTTTCTTAAATTTATTCCACTGAATTATGCTTCTTGAATAATGTCTTCAAACCCTGATCTACTTAACCGCTTATACTTTTACTACCTCTACTACTATGGGATGTGGTGGTATGGCAACCTGAACTAATGTACGTACGTACGAAGTTCTACGTTTTACCTGACTGATCGGTCTCACAAAGTACATCTTACTGACATGCAACTTTGAAAATTGTGATGTACTTATAGCTACTACCTGAACAGTCTTCCTTATCTTCATGATTCATACCAGATTTCCCGCTTAGTCCTCGAGTCATATAAACCTTCTAATGGCGGCATGAGATGATATACGTAAAACGTACCCAATAAACTATATTCTCAAGTGTAATCAAGGTCGATAAGACCCCCTCTACAATCTTTAAATTACTTTCATATGGCTGGAATTATGATCCCTTTTGAAGAAACTTCTAAACACCAAGACTTATATTTACAGACTTTAGAAGGCGATTGTTCTATATTTTGGTGTTTATGTAGTGTCATATGAATTAATCAAACCTTACAAAACGGACGCTTTATCTTATTTTGTTATAACTGTTAAAGGGATCATTTATAAGAAGGTAAATAAACAAAAACTACTTAAGTCTGTATGACCAGCTAGTTTGGCTAAATAATCACATGGATGTAAAATATCTCTCGTTCGTGATTAAAAAAAGAAAACGAGTTTCATACAAAAGTTTATCAAAAGAGCACAATTTGTCACGAAAGTCCATTAGGGTTCAAGTAAGTACATCTCATACCACAACAATGTGATCAAAAATTAACAAAAGGAAAAGTAAAGAGTATCTCAAGGATAATGAAAATTTACATGGAAGTACACTACTTATTCGGCAGTTTTAAAAACAAATTAAATCTTTACGGGTAAATCGCTTACATATTAAGGATTGCTTTTACATGCCAGCAATGTAGTAAATATACAAGGAAAGTAATACAATGCTGACCAGTGAGAGAATGATCAGGTCCGTTTCCAAATAATTTTATTACTACTAAATACCTTCAAGAGAGGACCTCTTTCATTTTCATTTATTCGTTGCAACAATCAAACTTTCATACAAATAGACTACTTGTGGGTACTCTTTGTAAAAAGTAGCAGTCTAGTCGTGTGCGCGAATACGCACTGGGTTTTTGTTTAAAATACAGAAAAACTTAAAATATTAATTTGATACTTCAGTACAATTGTTGTGGACTAATTAGTAAATAAATCCTCTAAGATTTTTTCACAGGGGGGGGGCGTATTGATGCAGTACAGATAATCAGTTGGGAAGTTGGATTGCATAAATCAAGGTACAAAAATACAAACGTAATTATTGCTCATCATAATGAACTAATAAAAGCATATAACTCAGAAGTAGAATAAAACCATTCAGTTTAAAGTTGAGCTTTTCATCATTTCGAACGCAGCCACCATTTTTTCACGTGTTTCATTGAGAAGCTGATCAACTTGAGATTTATTCATCCCCTTAGTGTCAATTTTAGGTAGAACTCTCACTCTGTATGTAGCTGGGTTGTAAAAACAAACACAAACGATATGTTACCATCATTATAAAATTTAAATATACAAGCTTCTAGAATGTCTTGAAACGAAAACTAAATGCATGCAACTTAACACAAACCTGGGTTACAAATGGGCAACTGTTCATTGACTACTAATAAAAGTTATGAACGAGGAACTATAGGCTGCAACAGACCATTTAAGTTAACACATAATTAATGATCTACTGTGAGTTTGTAGGCGTTAACGCTCATATGATTACATCATATGAATTTTCAAGGTAAATAATTAAGCGTTATATGGAACTGCCTAATTCACAATTACTCGTTACTTATCACCAATGGTACAACCCAAACCACGAATTGCCTGGATTTCAATAAAATACATATACGGTAGTACATGGTACCCTTCCTTTCAAGACCACCAATCAAAACCAAATAGTCAATCTAGTCGACCAAAAAGTGAATGGAAACTTATGGTTTAAAGTATGAATGTGGTACAAATATATTAATGGAATGAAGCACTTTTTTAATGTGTCAGTTTATTCATGGAAATACACTTACCACTGTTAAAAAGTTTTGTCTTGTGGTTCAGAAACTTTGCATACGGTTCAATGACAATAGGTTGAATCGGAAACTTAAACTTGATAAGTAATATAAGGTATTACTTGACACTCGATGGCCATATGGAATGCTCCCTTCTTAAAGGGCAAGAGAGTGACGGTATCGGACCTGGTGCCTTCGGGAAAAATGAAAACCGAGACCTATCAGGACTATTAGAATGAAAACCACCTACTTCATCCCGTTTAGCTGCGATGGCAGCATTCTCCATGGCAGAAATAGCATCTGAATGACGTGATCGATTGATAGAAATAGTCCTGCTTAGCCACATAATTACTCCCAAAAAGCCCATGTATTTAAGTGAAGCTTTAGAAACTACCGTGCAACGTTTTGGCCATATATCACCGACACCTAAAGTTCCACAAAAATTTGGGATCGAGTGGATGTGTACCTGCGACATCTATGCAACTTTGGTGGTTTGAAACATAAATACACGGTTCCTCAGGTAAAAGATGGGCGTTCTCGACAATAGGGTTTAGGCCTATCATCCTTCCAGCAAATGCTAAATATTTTACAAACCTCCTTGAAAAGTTATGGGGAAAAGTCATTACCAAGCATTTTCATATCTTCGGCCCTCTAAGGCTAGCCGGATAGCGTAAATGAATGACCCGATAACGATCAACAAAAAAAAGACAGCAAATTTGGTGTAATACTGTACTTTCGGAATTCGGTAGAGCACAGGGGCGGAAGCAAATAAAACAAATATACACGATAGTACGCACAGAAACATGCTTTGTTGTTTAGCCTTTCGATGCTACGTCGCGTGTTGCAGGAAGTGTGGATAAGACAGAATCTAGAAGAGAAAATGACGAAAAATGATCCAGTGATTCAATAAGTGCATAGGGTTAATTTGAATCTAACAAGGGAAAAGACAACAACTAGAAATAAAGCTAACACCGGATTTAAATAATCCGACAACCACCTAGGAGTTGATAGTCCAAGATTCTGAGTTCGACACGATACAGTAGAAACCAAGAGTCTTTTCAAAGCAACCCGCCCTTACTTCCATATGACCTTGAGGAACATGGTGTGCAGCGCTATTGCGTATTTCAATTCATAGATAGAGCAGTTTGTAGGCATTCTTAAACGTAGGTAGTCTTTCTGCTATAAAATCACAAAATCATTCTAAACAGCATTATTTGGTCTTCCTCTTGTAGTCCGCTCTTTGGTAATATATGTGGTGCATCGTGTTCACAAAATATGTCAGTCCACGTAAGCGACACGTTTCAACGTATTATACCAACCAGGCTTTACAACCACTACTGGTAAATGAAGTAACAGAAAGTGTTAAAGAACCAACTGGCAGGCAGATTACAGCTGAAGATTTAAAGACTAGGAAAGCTCATCTGACCACAGAGGGATATTTGCAAATGTTTAGGTTGCGGCACATGAGCTTTCAAAAATTGGCCTTAAAAATGCTATGAAGCTTTCCGAAGCAGTGATGTAAAGATTCTAAAAATCCCCAATAACATTACGTGCTCGCGATATAATCTAGCCCCGATTTTTTATCATAACGTGCGTCACAGAGTACGAGGTTGTTCTATGCATGTTAAACAGCATAACACCAAAGTTGAGACTTTGGAAAAGAAAAGTAAATTAGTAACCAATCACGCAGATTTAAAACCACACTCGGTAATAAAGTGGGCTTCCATTCCACAGCCTTTTTCAGATGGCTCTGCCTCATAAGTCTATTTCATTACTATCAAATATGTCATTGGATTTGAGAAATTTCAGATTATAAGAACCATCTGAATTAAATGAAGATTCTTCGAGAAGTGATCATTTCCTAAGCCATGGAGCACAAATTTTCTCCGCCCCTTGAGCGAAAATTTCTTTATTTTTTGCAGATCAACGATTCCGTCGAAAGCTATTTCGTCCTCGGCCCACTAATTTCTTCGTAGCTGGGATATTTGTTCATCTGTACTGGACAGTCCTCAGAGTTACTAACCGGCGTATCGACTAGGCCTCTGCTTATCACGTACTTTTTTCCTTATCCACCCACTTGTTGTGTTTATTTGACTAGAATTTGGCGGTAAATAACATGTGAAGGTAAACAAGTCCTCAATATAAATAGTTCTGAAAGTCTTCGACTCTAACGCTGACCTCAATAGTTCTAATGTACACACTCTATGTGACCAGTGTTTCTCTGAAAATTACCATTGGGGGGCTGTGCTACATTTCCCTTACAACAACTAGTCAGCGACTCAATACAAAAACCCTTTCCCGAGAATATCTTCGAACCCCTTCATCCTTGACTTTTGGCTTGATTTGAAAGTCGTCACAGGCAACAGCATCATCAAGCCCTGAATTTTCGCGGCATCATTTAACCTAGCAAAGTAAATAGTTTTGAAACTATTCCTGAAATTTGTTGTTGTATCGGAAAAAATTGCTCCAGAAACCTAGGAATTAGGTGTCTCTTGTGATTATTAATAAAACTGTTTTAGGTGACTTCTTGTAATTTACCGCTGCACTTGAGTCACAGTTTTTGATAGTCCTGTTATTTCGGTAGCTAAAATACCAAGGTTATCCGATTAGTCTGAAATACATTCTTGCATACAGTGTAAAGACCGTTTTTCATTGGCATGTATTAAATTATATAATGTTAATTGATGCGTGATCCGTATCAACAGGATCACTCTCTGGTAATTTAAACAGAGCTTCAGTTGTCCTGATAACTGAAGCTGGTTGTCATTTGATTTCCCTGACTCAAACTTTCTAACTGACAATTATGAACTCTTCCTCAGTTACTAAAACACAAATAAGTGGTGTTTGTTTAATCTAGGTATCAAGAAACACTAGGACAGAAATTTCTTGGAAGGCAATCAGTAATAAAGTTACTGTCAACGCCCACGAATATAAGGTGGTGATTGGATGCATGCTCCAAACACTTATTGATCTGTGAGTCAATCGCAAGGGCTTTCTCTCTTAAATTCGCCAGCAAAACTATTTGTGGTGACTTCAATCTTCCTAGAATTAACTGACATACATGTCCCTGTCCATTGCGCCTTCAAGGAATACTTAGTACCTTTGACACTCATGGTTGGCAGCAAAATACGCACCTACCTACAAGAAGCCACAACATTCTCGACTTGATATTTTGTCAAGATTTCACACAAACATCTGTCGCAGGTGACAAAACGCTTCACAACAGATATCATAAAATATTCCTATACACTCTAAATCTTCTCGCAAAATGAAATGAATTCAAAACAATAAAGCTTTTTCAACTCATAAACCATGTACATGCTGACTGCGAATATTCGAATTTCCAATTAGGCACTCCCACTAGATTGCGTAATTTACTAGTCATAAAATTTCTGAAACACTTCATGTATACAATGTCACCATCAAATCTGCTGTAGAAACTTCTGTCTCCTCCAAATCAGTTGTCAAAACAGTAACTACTTATTTCAGTCATTAAACCAGCTAAAGCTGTGTAGACTAAAACGAGCATTTTGAATGACAAAAGACTTCAAAGTCGTGCAGCAAATTTATTCATTATTCGGTGTGTGAAAAATCAGCATTAAAAGGATGGACAAATGGAGGAATATAATGCACTCGTTATCCGCGAACTATAAAGTTTACATAGTTCTCCCTAGATCGAAACACATCTATTACCTCAGAAATAATGCTTGATTGAATCAGTAGGAGTTACGTAAATACCATTAACTTTGAGATAATCAACATTAAAGCGGTCATAAAAACCCTTGAAACCCACCACAAGTTCTGGTGAGGAAGAAACACCATGAATACTATTCAACATGAAAGAAAGAAAAAACTGACACTACCAATGGCAGACACCCTGATGTCTGGAAAGTAACCTGTTTTATTTCCAAACACAAACTAGGACTGAAAAACCTTATCTAAAAGTAGGGATCACTATCTGACAGAAGGAATAAAAAGGTATCCCACTCACGAGATACATATAACTAACTCGTTCATTGACTATCTCACCCCATGCTTTATCCTAGCACTTTAAGAGGTCTGAAGAAGGAGGTTTGAGTCCCGTTTGATTCTGCATAAGCCTATATACTCCTCTTGTAATGCAGTCTTTATCCCAGGCTTGTGTAAATAAGACCTTTGTGGTTAAGATATCTACTTTCAAACTTCAGAAATGCATAACAAAATTTCGGGAAACTTTCTCATTCAATATCAACTAATATGGGACACGTTACCCTCCAAAACACGCATGACATTAGGACTATATGCGTTTGTAAGGCTTCTGAATGAAGCCCCCTTCTGTACTAATTACCAAGAAAGCACGAGCTCATTCACATTCGGCTCTCAAATCATCGAGTCTCAACACCTTGAAACTACACCGAATTCCGGACTGCGTTTTATTTCTTTCCCACCTCTCGGAATTTTAATGAAATTATCCTATTTGGCTAAATATCCCCTTTTTTAAATAGACCAATAACTCGTTGATTCGTCGGATACGACTCAAACTTCTCTGGTTTATAAAAACACACTAGGCTACCGTTCCGAAATGTCGACCAAACCTCAACATTTGCTGCCTAAATTCTAAATTGCTTAAAACTCTATAAAAAGGAAGCTGAAGAAAGTGTTGTAGAATCCTTTTTGAATGTTTTGTTTTTAAGAAAATCCCTCCATGTTTACATATTTTTGGTATGACATGACGGACTTTTTCTGTTGACATTTTGGTATTTTATTTGATTCCAATTTGAGGTTTTATCGTTGTATATTGTTATTATTTCTATACTTTGTACTCATATTGAAGTTTTTATGTTCGCTTCTGAACTGTATATATGTTGTTTAAATTTGATCTTTAATATGGCCACAGCCATATTTGGATTGATACGGTGGCGGTTGGACTTAACGTCACTTATTCCCCTTTGCTTTGGATACTCATCGGAGTAATTGTGCCTTGGAAGGTGCATCAACTTCAGGTATTGCTTTGTATTTCCATCTTTTAATATAATATAGACCGTTTTCTCCTAGAATTGTTGTGTTTTTTGGACATTGGACTGGGAGATACGCGTTCGGATTGCACTTATTGGAAATCATTTGAACTGCTACGGTAGAAAATCCAATTATAGTCTGAAGTTGATCCTAAGAATATTACAGTCTGAAGTTGATCAGAAAAACATTACAGTCTGAATTTGATCAGAAGACATTTACAATCTGAATTTGGTTGCGAAGACGAACAAATTTTGGAGAATAAGAATATTACAGTCTGAATTTGGCTCGACTTTTGATTAGAAGACCAATTACAGTTGGGTTATTAAGAAGAATAAAGAAACATTTGGAAATTTAATCGTTTATAATACTAACCTTCTTGAAAGAAGAACCTTGGATTACTTATCGTATTTTTGTATTCGAACTGTATTTTGGAAAACGATTTTCTGATTTGGATATTTCTTACCTGTGGAATTCCTATATTTTGTATTTGTTATTTACCTTCCGTTGAAATTCACTTATAATGATCCACCACAAGAAAACAAACACGAGGAGGATGGAAGAGCTTGAAGGATCCCGAAATGCTAGGCAAGTCGTTAATGATGATTTTTTTATGGGTACCCACTTTATTAGCAATGATGTTATGTCTGATACTTCTTATCGTATGTCACCCTTGGCAGGCATTAAGGAACAAGGCTTAAGTGAGAGTTCTAAGGTACCAGAGACGGATCAGATGCTTAGGACACCGATAGTAGGCTTAGAACTACCTAAGGTTGAACTTTCATTATTTGATGGAAAGTCTCGCAACTACTTTAGATTTATGCGCCAAATTCAAACGTTTATAGAGCCTAGAATAAAAGATGACCAAGTTCGTTTATTGTATTTAATTCACTATTGTAAAGGAAGGGCAAAAAATGCGATTGAAGGTTGTATTATAATGGATCCACAAGCGGGATATAAGAGAGCTAAGGCCATCTTAAAACAGCTCTTTGGACAGTCGCATGTAATAGCCCGGGAAACCTTAGAGGACTTATTTAGAACTGGGAATGCAGATTTTAATGATCCTGAACTATTGACGGATTTGGCTATTAAAATGCAGAATGCGGCATTA